CCCTGCTAGCTACCCTCTCTGTCAGCCCCTCCCCTGCCCCCTCCCCAGCCCAATCTCAGCTCCCCTCCTAGCAACCCTCTTAGCCAGCCCCTCCCTGCCCTGTTACTCAACTCCCTTCCCAGGACCTTTCTCAGACCCCCTTTCCATTTGAGCTAAATATCAGTATATTTGTGGCCCAACATACATTTCCAATTAGTCTCACAATACAAAATTTCCCTGATACAGTCACTATACAACACTACATAGATAATATTACTATCTTCTATTGTTCCTCTACTTCTGCTAGGCAAGCCAGAAAATATCAGCCTGGATTTATCATCAGAAGGAAATCCCGTAGACTGCCAGGACCAGAAAGATCTTTTCACGGCCTCCAATGTCATTGACGTTGTCTGTCTGGTCAAGGAGTCCATTGACACTGTCACCATCACATGGACAGGAGTGCTAGCCGTGTGCACAGTAAACATCAATGGAGGTAAGATACTACAGTTCTAGCCGTGTGCACAGTAAACATCAATGGTGGTAAGATACTACAGTTCTAGCCGTGTGCACAGTAAACTTTAATGGAGTTAGGATACTAAAGATATAGATGTGTGCACCAAAAAAATAATTAAACGGTGAAGTTATTAGGAGATGAAACAGATTTAACTTGCAGTTAAATTAAATTAATTCATGATTCTATCGATGGGAATCAACCAAACTCTTGGAGATCAGGGAGACAACCCAGTATATGGGGAGGTCTTTACAAGTTTTCTCAGACAATGTAAGAGCTAAACAAAACTCAGACATTTAAAGTTTTAAATAAATTTCACCAAATCTGATGTACGCAAGCCTGGCCAATGTAATATGTTGAATGAAATACGACTTTTTCTAGTATTGTCCATTCAATGCATTTACGTGATGGCTTTTGATTAATCCATTCATGGGTTCCTATTGGTTAATCCATTCATGGGTTCCTATTGATTAATCCATTCATGGGTTCCTATTGGTTAATCCATTCATGGGTTCCTATTGGTTAATCCATTCATGGGTTCCTATTGGTTAATCCATTCATGGTTTCATATTGGTTAATCAATTCATGGGTTCCTATTGGTTAATCCATTCATGGGTTCCTATTGGTTAATCCATTCGCTTGATGGCTATTGATTAATCAAGTCACCTGATGGTTATCGGTTAAGATTTTAAAAATAAAATGTGTAGAAATATATGATACAAATAAAATATTAGAGAGGTAAATACAGGTGAACGGAATTACGGTCCCGTTGATCTACTCTCATACATTCCAACTAGCAGTTGATCAATACAGAGTTTATCCAGTGTACACACGGGTTGGTACAAGTTCAATCAATACAAACAAACAGTTTATCCTGGGTACATAAGTCTTGGTACAAATTTAATCAATACAAAGAAACAGTTTACCTTGGGTACGCAAGTCGTGGTACAAATTTCAATCAATATAAACTGACTTAAAACTCACCAGGTCGCAACATGGCATTAAAAATGAACAACACCAGGTCCAGCAGTGGGAATGCGGCCAGTGAGAGGGACAGCGCCCACCGAGTGGTTGACGGGAAATATGGCGATGGCACACCGTGCGCCAAGACCAGTTCAATCCAAGACTTCCAATTTTGGGACTTCCAATTTAACGTTGGACATTTTCTGCACACAATAGTGCTTCGGAGAAACAATGGTAAGAGATTCTTGTTGGATAGCTCAGTGGTCTACCATGAAATAAATAAATGATGTTTGTTTAAATACCACTTTAAAATAAAATCAGAAATGTTTTTAAACAGTCCAATCTGCGCATGATTCAATAAATATTTTCAACAGATATCATTCATAAAATGGATCTTCATTTTTTTTTCAAACAATCACTCCATTCAAATTGTCAGTACAACAAAAAAAAAGGAACTATTGTCGAGACTTCTGTTGTAACCTGACAAAATAAGGTTTTTAAATGACTCTACTTTTTATCAGGACATACACTAGTAAACACTGTCATTTTTCTTAATTTAAACAATTGACTTTTAAAGACCTTATCTTAATTAAAATTATTGTTTTTGAAATATTTGTTTTTAACGGGACGATATACATTTAAAAGTTTATTATTTTAATTTGGATCCAATGTGTTCAAAAGCCTATCGTTTTTTTTACGGGACAAAATATGTGTTAAAAAGATTGTATGCATAGAAACGTTAGTTGAAGAGACGATGTTAAAAGACAGAAAGAAAACAAAAATTAGTAAAAGAGAGAAAGATAAATAAGAAGAAACAAAAATTATAGAGAAAAAAATGTAAAAAGCAAAATTAAAGTAAGTGAAAGAAAGGATATTAAAAAAAAAAAATCTCTATTACATTAATAATGAAACTACATTCGCTGATCTCACTCTTATCTCAGAGACCATGAACTTTTCCCACATGCACGGGTTTCGTTTTGACGTGTACAGCGAGACTGACATACTGGCCCTCCACTCAGACTACATGAGGAGTGACGACAACAGCATCACGATCAAGACAGACACTATGGAACCGGTGATGCAAATGAGAATCGTTCTGGGAAACAGGAAACCTAATGAAGTCAAATACATCGAACTTTGTGAAATAGAGGCATTTGGAGGTACGAGGCGGAATAGTAAAGAACACACGCATACACATACACACACACACATATATATATATATATATAATATAAAGATATATATATATAAATATGTATATATATATATATTTATATGTATATGTTGTATATATATATATATATATATAAATATAAATATATATATATATATATATATATATATATATATATATATATATATATATATATATATATATATATATATATATATATATATATAGATAAAAATATATATATATATATATATATATGTTGTATATATATATATAGAGAGAGAGATATATATATATATATATAATATATATATATATATAATATATATATAAGGTACCTCATTGTCACCACTTGTGATCAGCATTTTCTTCACAAGAGAACATTCCTCTCACCATTTGGGTACCTCATTCTCACCAGCTTGGAGCCTCAGTCTAACCATATGGAAACATCATTATCACCAATTTAAAACTTTATTCTCACCATTTAAGAACCTCATTCTGAAAACTTAAGAACTTTATTATCAACCCTTTTGAAACCTCACTCTTACCAATTGGGAACCACATTCTAAGAATTAGGAAACGTATTCTCACCACTTGAGATCCTTTTCTCCATTTGAGAATTTGAGAACACATTATCCTTATTAATTGAGAAACGTATTCTCACCACCCAAGAACATCAGGCTAACCAATTGAAACTCTCACTCTTACTAATTGAGAATCTCATTCTTACTGATTGGGAACCTCTTTTTAATTTTTTTTTAAAACATTTTTCTCAACTTTCCCCAGATTGTGCTCCACCGTATTTTGGCCTGTATTGTGAAGGGGTCTGTGGCACACGGTGTAAGGACCGCCGCTGTCACTACAACGGCTTTTGTTACCATTGTCTGGATAAAACACTTGGCAAGCGTTGCCTTGATGGTGGGTTGCCTAATCAATATTTGAGGTCTAGACATCAGATTATCTATTACCTAATCAATACTCGAGGTCTAGACATCAGAGTATCTATTACATAATTAATACTCGAGAACTAGACATCAGAGTATCTATTACCTAATCAATACTCGAGGTCTAGACATCAGAGTATCTATTACCTAATCAATACTCGAGGTCTAGACATCAGAGTATAGATTACCTAATCAATACTCGAGGTCTAAACATCAGAGTATCTATTACCTAATCAATACTCAAGGTCTAGACATCAGAGTATCTATTACCTAATCAATTGTCGAGGACTAGACATCAGAGTATATATTACTTAATCAATGTCGGAGGTCTAGGTATCAATCGTCATAGTATCCATTACCTAATCAATATTCCCGGTCTAGACATCAGTGTATCGTCGATGTCTAGGCATCAGATTATCTATTACCTAAATAATACTCATGGTCTATACATCAGAGTATCTATTACCTCAACAATATTCGAGGTCTGGACATCAGAGTATCCATTACCTAATCAATGTTCGTGGTCTAGATATAGTATCGATTACCTAATCAATATACGAGGTCTGTTAGCAGCAAGATCATGTTGTGGTTGGTCTGCAATTACATTCTCTTCTGTGCTGCTAGTAGAAGAAGAATCCTTTGTGTCAGTATCTATACCCTCATCACCAGAAGGCCCAACAACACTTTTTTTCCAGGCTCAACATCCAGACGACGCGTTACCTCAACCTCTTTGCCAAACCGCATCTCTTGTAAGTGAGATAGGCATGGATCTGCCACTGATGTGTTGACAGAGTCCTCATTTTCATCATTGTGTGGAATACGCTTCTGGACAGGTTCAGGGTCCGTTGGGGGAAATTCCAGATTTTCTAATTCCAGCCCTAATCTTGTCATCAGCATTGACACGTACACCATCCATTAGCTGTTTAAGCCGGCCTGGGAACTTGTCTTTTTGTATGGTCTGTACTTTTTTTTTTCCTTTAGGTGTTTTGTAGGCAGTCATAATAGAGCGCCATTCTCTGAAAAATGCCATTTCAAGAGGCTAGCACAGATGTGTAGCATTTTGAGGCAGACACCAAAGAAATTTCATTTTCTGAACATATGCGATTAATTTCAGGGGGAAAGTGTGAGCTCAGATTGTCTCCTATGAGAACGCATCGTTCAGTTTTTCATTTTACAAAATGGTAGAGTCACTTTCATGAACCAGTCATAAAAGCATTCATTGTCAAACCACCCCGAGCGGGACCGGTTCTAGCAGGTGGCTTTAGGGCCATTTTCAGTCCACGTGTCCCACAAATTCTCTGCTTTGGACACAACATAAACTGGTAGCAGTTCCCCTGCAGCTGTGCAAGAAAACATGAGACTTGTTGCAGATTTAGAGGTGTTGATGATCCTCCCTGGATATTTAATACCTCTTTTCATTATTATTTTTTTTTTTACGTCCAGGATCGTCCGACAAAATTGTTTCTTTGTAGTTGATGATGTTTTCAGGAGGAACGTCTTTCAAAGTTACTTTAAGATTTCTAAAATATTGATGGATGGTTGTCATTGAAACACCTGTTCTTTTTTTTGTTTAGATGTTCTGACACAACCTCAAGTGCAGGTTGTCTTTGTGTTGGTTCATAAATGATTCTAACCAGTCCATTCCTGGCATATTGTCGTTGAAACGATCAAAAAGATCTGCCCTGCTTGTCTAAATATGTTTTAATGAGGACTAAAATGTCCTTGCAGTAAAATGGAAAAACCCATTCAGATGTGGCGACAAGATGTTCAGCTATTGCCTTCTCTTCAAATTCTGTTAGAACAATTGGCCGTCCAGATTTCTGCATGTGTGTCTTCTTAAGTTTATTTTGAAGAGTGCTGATCGTGATCCCTAACTCAGCACACACAATCCTCTGACTAGCTCCACTTGTTATCATGTCACTGGCCTTCTGGGGTTTTTTGTCGTCACACGAGGCATATTTTCTGGTCTCAGGCTTTTTCTTGTATGTGCGTGGCATTGCTGGGTCGGAAGCATAAGACAATAAATATACAGTACAGAATAAAATAAATCCATTCTTCGATTTGAGATTATCAGTAATGTAAATTAGAGCCAAAATGTTCAATTTAACAGCCTATAGAAAAAAACAACAACAACAAATTAACTGAATAAAGTACTAGTTCACATTCTTAATGTGAAAACCATATATTTCAATAAAATCACACAAGTAATTCAATGGGGTAACACATGGCCAAAGTTACCCCATAGTAGTGATATTTTCTGGGGTAAAATTGGCCACTTAGCGGTGGGGCAGTGCGCATGTCTCGAGACCAATATGGGCAGCCATGGGAAGGGAGGGAAGGGTGTGCCTGCGTACTACTTGCGTTTCTATATATAGCCTGCTTCTTTTTATATCCGTCCTCTTATTTGAGCTTTGCTAGCGAATAATAGATATAGATTTAATAACAATATCTGGACATGTGCGTTACTTGACAAAACATGAACTCAAGTAACGCACATTTTAGAGTTCCAATATTTGCTACAACACTTCCCCCATGATACGTCACTGCACACTTTTTAGAACACGCCTATTGCACTATATTAATATTCTCATGTCCCAACCACTTTTAACACCAAATTTTGTTAGTATAATTTTTAAATTGAGACAATTTCTATTTCCGAAAATAAAATATTACGCCCCAAACGCTATGGCGTTATTAAAAAAATAAATATGTATTATATATAGCGTAGTTATCGGGAATTATATTTTGCGCGCTAGTAAATCATTATTGAACCACACTCTGGCTTATCTATCAATAGCCTGCGTGGTGTTTGAACACCATATATATATATAATATGGAGACATGATACATGTATATATATATATATATATACATATGTATCATGTCTCCAAAGAAATAAAAGAATGAGAGTGGGCGCAAAACCCAGACACAAAAAGATTAAGAAGAATGGAGAGGAAGTGAGTGGAAGTAAAATGTAAAAACCAAAGAGCAAAAAGACATGACAGGGTAGCTGTGTAAATTGAGGGATTTGGTTTATACAGCATAGAGTTTGGGTTAGGGTTAGGGTTAGGGTTAGGGTTAGGGTTAGGGTTAGGGTTAGGGTTAGGGTTAGGGTTAGTTTGAACATACCACGTTTAATTAGTCACTAATTCTTCATTTTACTGTGGCTGTCTTTTTTTTTAAATAGTTCATGGACGTTAATTTGGTGTTCTCGTTAGGGTTAATTTCATGCCCAAAAATTAGACAGTACTTTCATTGGTGGTTGAAGTAAATAATAATAATATGACAAAAGAAATGAAGCTAATTGCTAAGACTAACAATGTCACATGAATGTCGCTAACTCTCACTATATACCATTTTCCCCAACGTTGATTATGTATCTTATATGATTGTTTACGTTTGACTTAACCTTTAAACGGTTTCCCAAACATGATAATTGTATCTAAAGAAGACAATGCTTATTATAGATGACGATGTTTACTATGGATGATAATATTTTCTATAGTTGACAATGCTTACTATAGGTGGCAATATTTTATATAATGACAAAATTTTCCTTACATGACAAATTTTTCCATAGATTATATTTATTTTTCCACAGACATTGTGGAAAAAAAAGTAGTGTTTTCTCAAGGGGAGATCACTGGCATTATCGCCATTTCCGTGTGTGTGAGTTGTGGACTTTGCTGTGCCAGTGCCTGCCTGGGGCGCCTAAAGGCACAATTTTGTGCAAAAAAAGGTGAGAGACAATGCCTGGTATTTGTATCACTCTACAACATAACAGTATTTATATAAATAAATATGCTAACATATGAGAAGGCTGTACTGCGTCGGAATGAAACAATCATGATCAGTTGTGGCGCTACTGGCCAGCTCCATCCCATCCTTCCATTGCGACCGCTCTGGCGTTTGCCGCCTCCTTCTCTACATGGTCAATCCATCTCCATTTTTGTCTGCCCCTAGGTTTCTGGCTGTATATCACTTTAACTGATCTACAATCTGGCACATGGGCGCCCAAATTGGGGGGGGGGGGGTTATGGGGCACTCCCTCCCCCTTCCTCCTGGATTGATTTGTTTTAAAAAAATTAGACAAAAATAGAAAAACAATTTATTAAAGTTAAGAGAAAATCAAGGGAAAGTAACTAAACTGATCTACAATCTGGCACATGGGCGCCCAAATTGGGGGGGGGGGGGTTATGGGGCACTCCCTCCCCCTTCCTCCTGGATTGATTTGATTTAAAAAAATTAGACAAAAATAGAAGAACAATTTATTAAAGTTAAGAGAAAATCAAGGGAAAGTAACTAAGCTGATGTCCTGTCCGTTCGTTCACCATACAAATACGCTACAGTAAATTAAAACTACATTAAAACATTACTAAAAATCCCCCCCCCCCTTTAGAAAGTTAATCTTTTTTTTCCCCACCCCCTAGAAAGTTTTCTGAGGGCGCCCATGATCTGACATCCTTTCAATATGTTCTGCCCAGCGCAGTCTGCCTATTTTTTTTATATTTGGGACTATGGGTTGGGACTATGGGTTGGGACTATGGGTTGGGACTATGGGTTGGGACTATGGGTTGGGACTATGGGTTGGGACTATGGGTTGGGACTATGGGTTGGGACTATGGGTTGGTCTCTGTATACATGCTATAGATAGTCGTTTGTACGGAGTCTCCAGAAAACAGTGTCTATTACTGGGCCATATGCATTTCCCTAATGATTTTCCTCTCCCATGTATTAACCAAGTGGAATCAAGCCTCACTAGCGTAAATTAATAATAGTCGCATGATAGAGGTGTATAATGTCTTCTTTGCTCCCTTTGGAAGCTTTTTGCTTTTCAGTAGCTTTTGTAGGCTGAAATAGGTACGGTTATCCTTTCTTTCACATCTGAAATTATCTCATTGTGCTCGTTTATAGTTGCCCCTAGATATTTGAATGTAGCAACTCTCTCAAATGTGTGGCTGTTTATAATGATTTTATTATCAGCATGGGAGTTTCCTGATATTATCATAAATTGTGTCTTTAGTACATTTACACCAAAACAAGCTTTGAATGAGGCATTTTCAAGTTCCCTGAATGCTTTTATTATATCATTTCTGTTCTCACCAGTAGCGCTATATTGTCTGCATCTGCACGTTACTGCAATCGTTGGCTAGATAAAGTTCCTGATGGTCGTTATTCTGTAATACCTCTCTGGAAGTAGTTTGTTATGGTTCCAAAGGTGCTCACGTGTATGCTTCTAATAAATTTTTCTAGCGTGATGTTAAACAGGATACTTGATAATGAGTCTCCTTGTCTGAGGCCCAGATTAACTGGGAACTCCTTTGAGTGATTCTACTTTTGGAGTTGGCCATCGTCAGGTGCATACATCGAGTAAGTTTATTAGGGACTCCAAGTTCTTATAGAGCATTGTTTAGTTCATTTATGTCTACGCAAACGTAAACTGTTTTGTAATCCACCTATAATTGGTGCATGTCGATGTTATATTCGTAGCATTTCTCGAGTACACAATCTAAAAGTAAAAATATGATTTTTGTTTGATCTATTCCGACGAAATCCGGTATTCGTAATCACCTAGGCTCTGTTCACTATACCTTCCCACTTCATTTATCTTCAGATAAATTTCCCTCACATTCCTTTATCTTCAGATAAATTTCCCTCACATTCATTTATCTTCAGATAAATTTCACTCACATTCCTTTATCTCCAGATACATTTCCCTCACACACTTTTATCTTCAGATAAATTTCCCTCACATTCCTTTATCTTCAGATAAATTTCACTCACATTCCTTTATCTTCAGATAAATTTCACTCACATTCCTTTTATCTTCAGGTATATTCCCCTCACATCTCTTTATTTACAGATACATTCCCTACACTTCTCTTTATATTACTATATGTTAGTCTCACATCTCTTTATTCCCCTAACATCTATTTCTTTTGACAATTCTTCTGTCTCCAAAAGTTTTTTTCCAAAAAACACATTTTCTCTTTTTAAAAATGTTGGCAGCCACCCTTCTTTTTAAATAATGTGTATGTTCTTCATGAGCTGAGCCTTTTTTCTTGATTGTATAGGGTCTCTGCATTCTGCATGATGCCATCATGTTCTTTTCACTGAGTGTTTATATTTGCTCTCTTTGCCCTTTTAACTATTTGCTGCATCGTTTCCCATTTCTCGTTTATATCAATGTTGCTGGCTGATTCCTGTTTGAGTAATTCTTGTTGAGTTTCAATCTTCTACTGACATTCCTCTGTAATGTCTGGGTCCTTGCTTAATTTCTGGCTGTTGTAATATTTTTTCTTTGATTTAGTTTATTGTGGATGTTACAAATTCTTTTTTTTTTTTTATATTTGATTCTCACAAGTATATGGTCGGAGTCTTTGTCCGCCCCTCTATATCTTTGCTTATCTATTATGTCCAAGCCATGCCTCCGGTCAATGAGTACGTGGTCAATTTGATTACGGGTAAATCCATCTCGAGATATCTGTGTCCCCCAATGTATTTGTTGGTGTTGTAATATTGTGCTACAGATTGTCATTCCGTTTCCTGTAGTGAAGTCTATCAGACGTGTTTAGTTGTCATTGCTCTCATTAGGCAGATTTTCCATTACCATGGTTGGTCTGTAAGCACGGTCTTTCCAAGGACTACTTTGTTATCATGGCGTGTTGCCCAATTAAAATACTCTTTCGGGTGTTTTGTAGAAAGCTTCCTTCATGATTTCATCTGTAGCTTTCGTGAAACAGCCAGTGAATACAATTGTAAAGAAGAGGACGAGTTTAGAGCATGAATATGGACGATATGTTGAGGGAGTGAATGAGGACGTCATGTTTAGGGAGTGAATGAGGACGTCATGTTTAAGGAGTGAATGAGGAAGATATGTTTAGGGAGTGAATGAGGACGATATGTTTAGGGAATGAATGAGGACTATATGTATAGGGAGTGAATGAGGACGATATGTTTAGGGAGTGAATGAGGATGATATGTTTAGGGAGTGAATGAGGACGATATGTTTAGGGAGTGAATGAGGACGATATGTTTAGAGAGTGAATGATGACGATATGTTTAGGGAGTGAATGAGGATGATATGTTTAGGGAGTGAATGAGGACGATATGTTTAGGGAGTGAATGAGGACGATATGTTTAGGGAGTCAATGACGACGATATGTTTAGGGAGTCAATGAGGACGATATGTTTAGGGAGTCAATGAGGACGATATGTTTAGTTAGTGAAAAAAAAAAAGTTTATGGATTAAAGTAAAGTCCGGAAGTTGGAAATAGGGAATGAAAGAAAGATATATTTCGTGAGTCCAAGAGGACGATAGTTTCATGGAACAGACATTGGAAAGAAATAGAAATAGAAAGTAAAGAATAATAAAAGTAGAAAGTAGATAAAAAAAGAAATACTTATTTATCATTAATAAGAATAAAAGTAGAAGGTAAAGAAAGAAATACGTGTGTATTCATTATTAATACATCGAAGTGGAAAGTTAAGACAGAAATTCTTTTTTATTCGTCATTAATAAGGATAGAAGTAAAACATACAGAAAGGAAAAAAAAAGAAACTTGTTCATGCATCATTAATGTGTGTTCCCCAAACTTTAGCAGCCGCCAGTCGCAAAAGTCAACCGGGATTAAAGAAATGAAAGACAAGCAAAGGAAGTCTGAGTCCACTATAACAGAGAACAAGAATTGATCATCATAATATTGAATTTTTCTTCAAGCCAGTGGACTCCCCCATTACGCATGACCCCCCCCCCCCCCCTATGAACCCCATTCGCGTATGACCCCCATTCATCTATGAACCCCATTCGCGTATGACCCCCATTCATCTATGAACCCCATTCGCGTATGACCCCCATTCATCTATAACCCCAATTCATCTATAAACCCCATTCACGTATGACCCCCATTCAAATATGACCCCCATTCACCTATGGCCCCCATTCATCAATGACCCCAATTCACCTATGACCCCCATTCACCTATGACCACCATTCACGTATGACGCCATTCACAGATCGAATGTTTAAATATTCCCCAATTAGTGTGATGAAGATTTTCTTGCCGTCGTCCAATACTTTGACTCAAATTTTAGAACCCTTGAACTCACATGACTGTTGGCTGATGAGGGTGTTACTGGTTTAGCCCCCCTAATGAGATGTGAGAAAAGTTATTGGTAAAAACAATCATCCAAGGAGCATACAGTTGGTAATAAGCTAAATATCCCTATTGGTGTTTTTAAATAAACATAATCCAACATCCAGGTCCAATGGATGCTTTCTTTTTTATTATATAAAATTAGTTGAATAATGTTACTAACACTAATTCTTTTTTTCTGTTATTTTTTTTTTAAAGTATTGTTTCAAATAATTCTCCCACCCACACACTTCCTTTTATTTGAAACTGCTCTTGCTTAAAGAGCTGGAACAAGGGTTCTTTAAAACGTTTCTTCCAAGGACCCCATTGTAATATGTTAAAAGGTCTCAGGGGTGCCACATTTTCTTTGCAATTGAATCCACGTGTATGAAAACTTAATTTCAAGTAGTTCGTGGAATTCATGGGACTGAACTTAACAGTTTGAGAACTCCTTGTCCAGAATAGTATTAACAGTTTGACATAAGTTGTTTTTTTTTTAAATTTGACACTACTAACGTTGTTTGCTTTGACATTTTGTTTTGTTTAAAATTGAAATGAGTCAAATAAACAAGTGTTCTTTTTGTCTCAAACTCAAGTTTTGATTTCATTATTGAATGGTCATTGGATCTTTTGTACATATTTATATCATTTAATGTTATGTACACATGTACAAGGACACTACGGTGCCATCACTCAGGCGTTAAAATCAAGGACATTATTTAACAAGGACAAACATTTAACTTTACGTCAACTCTATCTAACTTCTTCCTATCTCAAAGAATAAACAGTTCTATAAGGTAACCAAAATATGCTGTCTATATCTCAAAGAATAAACAGTTCTATAAGGTAACCAAAATATGCTGTCTATATCTCAAAGAATAAACAGTTCTATAAGGTAACCAAAATATGTTGTCTATATCTCAAAGAATAAACAGTTCTATAAGGTAACCAAAATATGTTGTCTATATCTTCATAGAAAAGTAACGAATGCTTATGGCAGGTGCATGTCCTCAGAGTAACATTAAGTTAAACAAAATTTTGCTCTAACATTTCACTCATTTGTCATACCCTTGTTGGTTAAGGTTTGGAGAAGTCACTTTGTCATAGTTATAGAAAGGCAGGTTGCTTACGATTTTAAAAGCCACTGTTATTTTCATTCTAATCTAAAAATACATATCAGTAATACATCTGCTGTACCATTATACAATTCATATAAACACATTTTTATTTAATACTTCCTTAAGTTCTAATCTGCATGGACAGGATAGATGAGACCTCGTGAACATATGGAGGAGGAGAGAGACATGCAGGTTGACAAAAACAATTAGCACTGAAAAAACAACACTTCTCACATTTTAATTACATAATTTTTTTAAAGTAAATTTTAATAACAAACAAAAAAACAACAACAGTTTTTAAAAAATATTAAAAGATAAATGAAACCAAATTCGAAGATCTTCGTGTGCTATATTTAATACATTACATTCAGTTGGTTTAAAATTTGATGGACAAAGGCCTGCAAAAAATAACAAAATCTTCTTGTGCTACATTCAATTCATTAAAGTCCTCTGGTTAATAATTTGATGGACATAGTTTAGCAACAATAGCAAGAAGTAAAGAAATATCAAGCCAACTTGTACAGTGTACATTATTTTTCTACATTATTCTCTCCTGACAGCAGATGAACATTTGTAAATACTGGTCTTGACCCCTAGGAACATTGTTGTTATGTTACTCTATTGAATACATGGTCTTGCCCATAGGTACATTGCAGTAATATTACTGTATTAAATTAATTGTCTTAACTCATGGCTACATCATGGCTATATTATGGCTACATAATTTCTGCACTAAACTGTGTACATTGTAACTTGGGTTGAACTGTCGGTTTTCTAGGATACACATTCAAAATTAATTTTGCAAAACTGCTTTTCTTAATATTAAATAATTTAAATGAATCATTTTATTTCATCATCATCAGTGGTCCTGGCCTGCTCCACCACATCCTTCCATTCGAAGCGATCCATAGCTTTCCTCCTTCATGCATGAACCCCCAACTGGTGTATATCCATCTCCACATCATCAAACCATCTCAGCGTTGGGCGACCAGTGAGTTGTCTGCCCCTAAGCTTCTGCCTGTATATAACTTTTGTTGCTCTACATTCCGGCATCCTTTCAACATGTTCTGTCCAGCGTAGTCTGCCTTTTTTGTCGTTGTGACTATAGGTGGGTCTTTGTACAAATGGTTAAGATCTTGGTTTATACGAATTCTCCAGATATCATTTTCTATCACTGGGTCCTATATTTTTCGGAGGATTTTCCTCTCCCATGTGTTAAGCAGGTTCTCTGCTTTTCTGATGTTATGAATACTGTAAAAATGGGCTAGAAACCAAGATCAGGTTTCATCTTCAAACATAATACTAACATTTGAGTGCCCAATAATAGTAAACAATTTGCCAAACTAGCCACTGTATGGGCCATATTTAAAACTGCATTAGCTCTAGACAATGAATGACTATTAAGTTCCTGTGTAGAGGACTAGAGCCATCATTTTAAAAAAGCAGAAACAAAATTTTAGCTTGGTAAACTCTACAAGATGTTTCATACTGCAAGGTAAACTTCTCTATGATCCAGACACAGAAAGTTTTCATGCTAAGAATATTGCATTAACTTTTAAAAAAGTCTTAAGAAAAACTTTAAATCGATTAATAAATGAGCAAGAAGATCTTTAAAAAAATATATACATGAACTTTAATAAAAAAAATGGGTCAGATTATTAAAGTTTTAAATGTCTTCTTCTATATCTCTGTCAATATTTTGGAAATATCTGGTTCTATATCTCCGTCAATAGTTAGGAAATATCTGAGTCTATATATCATTCAATATTTTGGATATTTCTGGTTTTTTATCTCTGTCAATATTTCATAAATATCTTAATCTATATCTCTGTCAACAATATTTTGTAAATATCTTCTTTTATATCTCAATCAACATTGGAAGCCCTACAATTGCTCAGTAAAGTTATTGAAATTGTTACTGTTATCTATGTTATCTTGATCAAAATAATCATGCAGTAAACTAACAGTGTTGTCCTTTGTAACACCATCTGTCAGATCATCCTGTCTCTCTGTCAACTGTTCATTCCTGTCAACATCATCAACACTAGCATTGTAACTGTGGCTGACCTGACCTGAAACCGAGACAACGCCAACAATGTTGTTCTTTTCGTAATACACGGAGTCATTCTTCCCCACCCCACTACCCTCCTCCCATCCATAAAATGGATTTAAATCCATGTCATCCTCAAGAGGTAAATCTCTACCATCCTCTAGAGGTAAGTCCCTACCATCTTCTAGAGGTAAATCTCTACCATCCTCTGGAGGTAAATTCCTGCCATCTTCTAAAGGTAAAACTCTATCATCCTCTAGAGGTAAAACTGTAACTTCTTCTAAACTGCTTTGATTAGCAACATGGACTTGACCCCTGTTTTCAAAGTATTTTCCATGTGATGAGAAAGGATCAGGTTGAAGGCTGACATGTTGATTGATGCTTGTTGTTGTAATAAATTGTTCACTGATTGTGTTAGTAGGAGGGTCATCTTTGTGGCTGGTTGTGAGTGTGTCTTCACCAGTGCTGAGAGTAGATTTGATTGTGTTGGTAGGAGGGTCATCATTGTGGTCAGTAGACAGTGTGTCCGCAGCAGTGCTGAGGGTAAACTTAATGTGTTTACTATAATTGACCCTTGTAAGGGTCCCTGGAGTTGTCTGGTTCACTAATGTGCTTGATGAACCTTCAAAGGTTTTAGGTGCTGAGGAAATTAAAAGATTCATTTCTTTAAATAAAAACTGGTTAGTCTGATAACAATTAAATCATAACATTAAGACATAAAAAAATTCCTTAATTTAATATTCCATTCAATATTGGAATTGGACAATACAATTCATGTTTATATTAAAATATAAGTTTTTAGGAATGTAAAACTATTACAATGTGCATCAGTAACTAAAAATTAACAGAAGTACATTTAAATGACATCTTGTTAATAACTCACCCCGAACAGGTGTAGAATATGTAACTATGTTGCTATAAGGTCCATAACCTGCTACATAATGTGCCTGGACCTAAGAGGTACAAACATTAGAATAAATTTCAGCTAAACTAAACTCTTTTTTTAAATATTTAGTATCTAGTTGCAAAAAAGGATAGTTAAAAACTCTGATGGTTGCTAAACAGTCCTTAGTTCCTAAAATGCCTCTGGTATCTAAAAAGCCTCAGATTTCTAAAAATGTTCTCTGATTGCTAAAAAGTGTCTAATTTCCTAAAAGTCTCTGGTTACTGAAAAGTGTCTAATTTCCTAAAAGTCTCTGGTTACTGAAAAGTGTCTAATTTCCTAAAAAAGTCTCTGGTATTAAAAGTCTCTAATTTCCTAAAAGTCTATGGTTGCTAAAAAGTGTCTAATTTCCTAACAAGGCTCCTGTTCTCTGGTTGTTAGTATTATTATAACATACCCCATGTAATAAACAAGCTTGATTAACCGACACAGCTCAACATTCATGGCCAAAATTTTTAGAATCTTTTGATAGCAATGATTGCAATGTAGCACAGAAACATGCTAATCTCAAAGTAAAATTAATTTCACACTTTTTTTTTGCGGATTTAAATTCAATATTTCTAAGACTAAGGAATTTTATTTTTCAACAATAGGAAAATTTTGAAATCGTAAAAAATAATATTGACAAACATTAATAAAGAAGAAGTAAGTTTACCAATGTTTGATGGTTGAAATGGAATAATCAATACACAATTTTTTGAATGATAAAACTGTTTGAGACACAATTTATTTCAATAATAATATTGACTTTGAAGAAATAATAATATTGAAATAACTGTTTATTTTACTCAATTGATTCACATTGACAGCAATAAAAAGCACAATTAACAACCAGTGAAACAATGTGGTCATCACCTTGAAATAATATGTGGTGTTGTAATGTAGCCCTGCAATGCTACTCTCCAAACCAGTCTCACTTTGCCCCAGCCAATCAGCATTTTCATTGTTGACATCATCAGTAAACAAAACAATATAGCCTTTAACAAAAATGATTAAAATGATTTATTATTTTTAAACACACAAATGATCAGAAAACTGAGATATACATTGCATCCATTCTGTCATATTTCAATGAGGAAATTTTATTTTAAAATGTTAATAGGGGTTAGCAAATTGAAATATGTTTTGGGATGACATACGAATAAATAAGGATATCAAAAAAAAGAGAGAACATGTGGGATAAAATAGTACTTTCAAGATCCTAGGATATTGACAATAAGAATCCTTGCTTAACTTGAAAAGCTAAAATAAGTATTAAAACAATTGTGTCCACATGCCTATGATTTGGTCCAAGCTGATTTCTGGCACTGTCCAGACCACCTTTACTGTTGTAGAATCTTTATAGTGGATGCCCTGAATTCTCACCATGGATGGTGCAGCTCTTTTGTCTGTGGATGTAAAATGAAAAATACATACGATAACGTGAGATAAAGAATATTTTATTAAAACACCAGAGTATCACGGACGGCTATAACAAGTATCCCAGAGATCTCATACTAGTATCAGACAGAGTCTATATGTATGAGTATCACAGAAAACCCATATAAGTATCACAAAAGACACATACTAGTACCACAACAACCCATATAAGTATCAGAGTTCAAGCTATTTGAATATCCCTGACAACCACTTTTGATTAAAACATATTTCTTAGTCTACTGCAAGTATTTACAGACAATCACAATGTTACATCTGAAATACTAAACCTGTTGGTGGATTGTAGACAACTGTTTTGCTCAAAGGTCCGTAACCCGCCTTATTCATGGCCTGAAGTTTGAAGTAGTAGATGGTGTGTGGAGTAATAACTCCTATTTTAGCCTCCCTTCTCTTTGTTTTCATGACGACCCAAAGTTTAGTGTCCAATGTTGGATTGGGAGTCAGGTAAATGATGTATTCTGTTGTAGAAAGATTTCTCTTTCATTTATATAAGGAAAACTTAAGATTTTTTAAGTGTTGCTAAAAAGAATACTTTATAGATATGATACTGATACAAACATTGAATGTAAATTTGTCAACCCCAACTATAGATTTAAAACATTGAAAAGTATGGTTTGTCAAATATAAGTTGTCAAATTTATGTTGTCAACTATAATTTGTCAAAAATAGGTGTTCAATTATAAGTTCTCAATTAGAATTTTTTTATTATAATTTGTCAAATAAAGGTTGTCAAATATATGATTTCAAATAGAAATTGTCAATCTTTGTTAGGGTTATGAACAAGATAAAATATATTAGGAAATTTGCTTAGGTAACAATCATAACAATTGTTAATATTGAATAAAGTTGGTCTCAATCCACTGCAGGGACTGTGTGAAATGTCTCCTCTAAACTTGCATGCCATTGTGAAACATTCTTGCATACTGAGCTATTAATTTTAGGTAAACTGACATTAATTTTATGTCATTTGGTGACTTGTTGTCAACTTACCTTCGATGATACCATTTGGTGTCTTGGGCTCAGTCCATGACAAGAGAATATAATTGAGTTGAATTGGATGCCGTGATGCTACTATATTTTCTGGTGCTGATCTCGGCGCTGTAAGAGAAATGGATCAGATGCAAATAAACTTTAAAAGTACCATCCACAAATGATGTCAAGCTCTTTGGCCCACCCTTGCCCAAATCATCACAATTTAAAGCTAAAATTAGACTCCCTTATAACATATTGATAGCTAACTTGCAACTCCCCTCCTTTCTCCATGACATCACCTATCAAAAGCTTGGATTATTTATTTTGACAAGGGGTAGGGAGGGTTAGGACCTTAGTCATCTTTTTAGCCGTCATCAAATAAAGGTCATTTAAAAAAGTATCTTGATGCTGGCACGCGGAGTCTAGACCTTTGGACCTTCCACCTGGCCAGTTACATGCCCATCACTTAAGGTAAGCCCATAATGGTACTACTTTTACTAGTAAAAATGTATGAATAAAGTTAAAAAAGCAACAATCAAACGGAATCAAACTATATAAAATAATCAATGTACTGAAATTAAAATAATTTTGCAGAGTCTACCTATTTATTGTGTGGATTTAAGAGTTAAAAAGCGGGTAACTATTTTCTAAGTAGATTTAATAATTTGGCTGTGGTACCAATTTCTTGGGTAGATTTAATAGTTTTGCTGGAGTACCTATTTCTTGGGTGGAATTAACTACAGGCAAGCTCCACTGGCTTGAGTTAGTTCCCTTGACTGCTTTGATGGAAACCTCATACTGGGTGCCAGGTTCAAGGTTAGTCAACACAAGCACCTGGTCACTAGTGTTGATGTATGAGTAGGCTTCCCCAGACAGTGGTGAGTATCGAATCTGTCAAGTTGTCAAATTGAGACGCATTGAAAGAAAAATAAAATATTTTATAGGTGACTTTTTTCTTACAACACATCTTGACGAATTGATTTAGGGATGTTATTGGTGGTAAAACTGCAATAAAATTTGGCATGACCTTGATGTTATGGGTGTTAAAACTGTTCAATCATTTGGCATGGCCTAGGATTTATTGATGGAAAAAACATTTGGAATGGTCTTGGATGTTATTGGTGGAAAAACATTTATAACATTTGGCATGGCTTTAGATGTTATTGGTGATAACCCAGCAGTGTGTCAAAGCAATATGATATAACCCAAAAAGGCAAATACAAAGAGCACAAAGTTCCTATACTAGCTTTTGTGGTTCAAATATACATATTTTGTATGGTAATTAGGGATTAATTAATATACTACAAACATGTAATAAGGGATTAATTAATATACTACATATAGGTAATTAAGGATTAATTAATCTACTACAGCAGATAATTAGGGATTAATTAATCTACTACAAACAGGTAATAAGGGATTAATTAATGTACTACAACAGGTAATAAGGGATTAATTAATCTGCCATTGACTAATAATAAGTGATTAATTAATCTTTGACAAACAATGTAAAAAGTATTATTAACAAAAGATATTTTTACAGAAAAACATTATATAATCTTATATAAATACATGCCATAATCTTATAAAAATACATGCCAAAATGTTATAAAGCTACATTGCTACTTTGAAATTATTTAAAAACTGACATTTTAAATCAGTTTGTATTTTTAATCTTTGTTATTAAGATTTAATTCCCTTCATTTTTTGTCAAGGGAGGAAAAATAACAAAAATGTTAGTTCCCTTGAACAGTGCTTTAAGCCATAAAAGATAAACGAAAATGATATTGGTGCTACTGCGCAACTTTCTTATTAAAAGGGAAGTGGTTAAAATGGATTCAAAGTGGATCCACCCACTGTGGATCATAAATTAAATATTTTCTCATGGAATCTCTTAGGTGCAGTTGTACTGAGATCATAAGAATATTTGTTCTGTTTATAAATGAATATTAAACCCTTTTGATAATATAACATTTGAACATTCTGTGGATGATGGATACTCAGAAGATTGTGGAAACTAAGAGGATGATGGATAATCAGAGAATGGTGCATATACTCAGTGGATGGTGTATTAATAGACCATGGTAGATATAAGAAGATAGTGGATACTCAGAAGAGGATGGATAATCAGAGAATGGTGCATATACTCAGTGGATGGTGTATTAATAGACCATGGTAGATATAAGAACATAGTGGATACTCAGAGGAGGATGGATGCTAAAAGGATGGCGGATACTAAGAGGATGTTTGATACTCGGAAGATGATAATTTTAGGGCTAGGATTATTTTCACATTGTTATGTATTTGATGTTTATTCAGTAGAAAAATACAACCCGCTTGTAAGTGTTTACCAGGTAGGCACGTCCGTCCATGGCTCTTTGGCTGTTAGAAATGGCCGGATCTGACCAGGTCAGTTTCAGTGAGGATTCACTCTCTGCCTGGACGGTCAGTTTGACAGGGGTCAGGAATGCCAGGGGTTGGACAGGGACTGGAGAGCAAATTTGTCAACATTATTAGACATAGATTAAATAACAACCTAGTGGACATTTTTTCATATGTTGTCAAGTCTAGGATGATATCTTCAAAGTCTAGAATGATCCCATTCTAGGATAACTCTTAAATACAAACATTGTTGTATAGCATATCAAATAAAACTATAAAAATATATATATATTTTTTAGCTTTTTATTTTCAGTTATAATTTTTTTTAAATAATAATTTATAACATTGTTTAAAAGTTTTCAATATTTGTAAGAATTTATGTTGATTACTAGAGTAAAAAATAAAAAAAATGTAAAAAATTGGATAGATCTGAGTAGCCCAGGGATGGGAAAACCACGACCTGGCAACTGATGTTATTATGCTCCTGAGGGCATTAAGAAATATAAAAAAAAATTACTTCGTTTTTAATTTATTTTGTTGTATTTTACAGAATTTCATGTACCATTATGATTGTTTTAACATTTGTTATAAAATTTCTTTCCAAATTTTCTATTATTGTAAACAATCCTTGACCTTCGTAATGTAACTCTAATATGGCAAAATATATATGCTGCCCTCCAGCAGCTTTTCATTTGTCAATGTGGCCCTACGCACACAAAGTTTTCTCACCACTGGTGTAGCCTGTGCTAAAAGACATAAATATAGCCCTTGCCTTCTTTAGTTCTAGCTAGTATAAATGTTGGTGAACTCTCTCCAATCTGGTTGAATGCCCTGACACTGATAATATACTCAGAGTCTGGTTCTGATGACGGAAGCACATTGAACAATTATAACATTTGAAATCATAATTTAATTATATCAAAATAGGTTTTTCTTGATCTAAATGCATTTATTTACTTACTTATTTTATATTCAATATGTTAAATAATTTGTATAGACCATTGTCTTTAAAGATACAATAAAAAAACGTATGTTTCTGTTTTTGTGCCTCATGCACACAAAAGCCAAAACACTTGTCAACTCACTCAATGACTTGATTGTGTAAGACATTTGTGAAGGACCAAGGATCTTCCTGTAGACCTCTGGGATAAACTGGCCATAGCCCACCACGTAGCCATGTAAGGGAAATCCTGGGGTAACAGTTTAGTCAATTTATTTATTCGTCAAGTCATCATTTAAAGTTTTTAGTGTTAGTCTCAGATTCAAGTTGAATTGTTGGCTAAAGTAATGCTGTGAAACACTGCTGCTTTCATTATTACTCTTTAAACAAATCTCTTAACAAAATACATAAGATTCCATATCAATCTTATTTTTGAATCTGCTTGAACACTAACTGTGTAAATACCAAAGTGCAAATCAACATTGCACAAATGAAGATACTTGAAAATGAATTGTGTAAATTAAAAAAAAATGTAACATATTTTAAATTTTTAGTGTTTCATTTCTTTGTAATCAATATAGAACTCTTGTATTATGTGTTTTTTCCCCTGCTAGTGGATTGTCTGAGTTCTGTCCCCTGCTAGTGGATTGTCTGAGTTCTGTCCCCATGATGTTAAAGTCATTACCTCTGAGTGGTGGCTCCCTCCAATGTAAAGTCAATGAATGTTCTGTGGCAACAGCAGTCAGGCTCTCAGGGGGGTCAGGTCTTGTTGGAACTGGGGATAAACAGAAACAAATCCTGATAAGTTGCTTAGAAATCTATGGAAGAGTTCACCACACAGGAATGTTGCATTCATAACAATACATTTTACATAACAACTTTAGAGTGACATCAGTTTTCGGGTAAATTCCCACCTGCAGGAAATGTCGACTCCACCCAAGGTGAGTACAGCCCTGTCCCATTTATGGTCATGGCTGCTATACGGAATGTGTAGGGTTTTGATGTGGACATATCTGGAGAAAGAAGTATGGCATGTGAATTAACTGAGACGAATTGATAAAAGTTTTTTTAAGTGGACATTGTAGCATTATCATGCCCCATATTGTCTGAGCTAGGCTTTATATTGAAAGAGCTATGCCCTATACTGTTTAAGCCATGCCCCATATTGTCTGAGCTATGTCTCTATGGCCTAAGTTATGTCCTATATTGAAAGAATTATGCCTTATATTTTCTGAGCAATGCCCTATATTGTATAACCCATGCCCCATATTTTCTGAGCAATGCCCAATATTGTCTAACCCATGCCCCATATTGTCAGAGTAATGCCCTATTTTGGAACAGCTATGCCCAATATTGTCTGAGCTATGACCCATATTGTCTGAGCTATGCCCCATATTGTCTGAGCTATGCTCCATCGTTTCTGAGCCATGCCCCACATTGTCTGAGCTATACCCCATATTGTCTGAGCTATGCCCCATATTGTCTGAGCTATGCCCCAAATTTTCTAAGCTATGCCCCACATAGTCTGAGCTATACCCCATATTGTCTGAGCAATGCCCCATATTGTCTGAGCTACACCCCATATTGTCTAAACTATGACCTATATTGTTTGAGCTATGCACCATTTTGTCTTAACTATGACCTATATTGTCTGAACTATGACCTATATTGTCTGAACTATGACCTATATTTTGTTGAACTATGACCCATATTTTGCAAGCTATGCCCTAACTTGACATTACACTGGTGTGTTGTTGTCTGGACACTGTTACAATCAAATTGCTCACTCAAAAAGGTGAAGTTTGTCATCAACTTGGAGACTCTAAAGCTGGCCAGCCTCTGTCCATCTCTCTCCCTCAGTATCAGCTTGTACCCTGTGATGACCCCATTGACCTCGTCAGGGTCTGGTGGACTCCAAGTGGCCAGGAGAGCCTAGGAAAATGATGCATATAAAAAAAAGTAATATGGAAATATTAAAATATACCTGCAGAGTTGAATAGTCAGAATTGAATACCTAAACCTGGAATAGTGACATGACACTTTTGTTGTATACGGTTGATTCATAATTTTGTCTCCATATTTTTAGTGTTTAGTCCGGATACTTTATTATTACAATGTCAAGATAATTCTGAAATGCTGTAAACAAAATTTATTTTATTTCATGTCATTTTTAGTCAATTCATGTAGGTATTTTGTCATTTTTCTGTACTAATTTAAATTTAAAAATAAATACAATAGTTCCAGTTTGTCATCAGTTACAATACTACATTGACAATTCCTCAATGTTGACAATTTTACTACATTGACAATTCTACTATATAGTGAATTCTACTACATTGAGCATTCTACAACATTGACTATTTTACTACATTGAAAATTCTACTACTTTGATAATTCTAATACATTTACAATTCTACTGCATTGACAATTATTCAACAATGACTATTCTACTGCATGGATAATTCTACTACATTGACAATTTTACTACATTGACAATTCTTACTGTTGAGTTGATGGGCTGGATCTGAACATCCTTGGGCGGGCCGTCAGGTTTGTCACTAAAAGTTTGAGCAAACATGACAATCCCTTCACCAAGTAATGCACCGTCATAAGGGATGATCTCAAACCTGATGTTGGAAACATAATGATCCAGTGAGAGGTCAGAAACAATTTAAAAGACAATATTTTTCTAAGGTCACATGACTTAAAATAACTTATTCTTAAATTAAGTGTAAACAGATGCATGGCCAGTGCAAGAGGATTTCTTGAATTTTAGTTTGAATGTTTTCTGGAAATGGAAAGGAGTAGTCTTAATTTAAGGGCAAGCACAAAATGAATTAGTTTAAATGATAATTTTGCATTAAGATGCTGAAATCTATGAAATCCTTTACTCTTGTTATTTGAGACAAATGTTCTTCAGAAATATTACATCTGTTTCTCCAGTTACCTATCCATAGAGACAACTCTGGTTAAACGGGCACTACTATAGTGAAATCTCATAAAGTTGATCTACTATATTTTGTTCCAAATTCTGTTATTTTTAACTTCTGTACTCACATAAATATATATAAAAAAAAAAAATTTTAAATAACCTCATTTGCCTGTGTTGTTATTGCACATCTACCTGTATTGTTAATGCACATGTACCTGTGTTGTTAATGCACATCCACCTTGTTTTTTAATGCCCATTCACCTGTGTTGTTAATGCTGTAAGTTTCCCTTACCTGTAGTTACTAAACTTTTTCAAACTGCCCGCCACATAGTTCAATGAACTTCCACTGAGCCAGGCACTCTGTTTGTCCTTGTGACCTGGCCGCCAGTAACGGATGTGGTACCTGGTCACATGACCCCTCTCTGGCGGCTCCCATTGAACATGTATTTTTGTGGATGAGATGACCAGGGCTTTGGCATGCTTGACCATGCTTGGTGGATAGGCTAATATGTAAGAAAATTATAAATTAGATGGCTAGGCTAATATGTAGGGCAATATAACATTAGATTGATAGGCTAATTTGTTAGATAAAATAACATTAATGTTAGAATTTTTTGTTAAAAAGCTAAAATCAAAAGTTGACAATAATTATTGTGTATAAACCACTGCAGAATTATGTGGTGCTGAAGATATACAAAGTTATTATGTCCAACTAAGAGAACACTAGAAAAAACTAACAGAATAATATTTTATAAAAACAAAAATATTTTTTAAACCTAAATTTTTCATTACAAAATATTTTGAAAACCATCATTCTTTAAACTAAAAATTTGAATTAAATCTGTGACGAATTTGAGTTTCTGTAAAAAAAAAGTATAATTTTTTGTCTGTGGAAGGTTAACCAAGACCATTTCTAAACATGGGTCTGTTGTTGCTGTGGAATCTGTCTGTTGCTGGGGTTGAAAATGTCTGTGGGAGTGCAGATGGATGATCAGGCCAATTGTGGCATGAAAAGTTCTGGTGCAGAAGATGTATGGGGCAACTCTGGATTTTACTTCTGGATTTTACCCCTAGTCTCTTGTGTTCTGCTGCAGCTGCTCTGTCAGCCTATTGTTGTATTAAACCCTTATTTATGGAAGAGCAAAACAAGTTTAGATTCTTCGAGGATTGTTCCCCAATGTCCAGGTCAGTGCAAAATGCTTTCAAAGATGCTTTCAATGGGTCTTAACAACATTTCTTCTGTCCCCCAGCTAAAACTATTGCATATCCTAATTACAAGATACAATTAAACATTTGTCTGTCTCTCAGCTAATCCACTGCATATCCTAATTACAGGGGACAACACATTTCTTCTGTCCCCCAGCTAATCCACTGCATATCCTTATTACAGGGGACAACACAATATTTCTTCATCCCCCAACTAACCCACTGCATATCCTAATTACAGGGGACAACACAACATTTCTTCCATCCCCCAGCTAATCCACTGCATATCCTAATTACAGGGGACAACACAAAATTTCTTATATGATTTTTGTCTAAAGTATATTGCCCTTTTTTGGTGTGATTTTGTTACCTAGTTACCTTGTGTAGCTGTTCGTATGTAGAGTGGTTCAGCATCGCCTGCCTCATTGTAGGCCCTGATGGACACAACATACTTGGTGGAAGGCACTGAAATTTTATACAGGTTAAGACATAACTATTAAGATAGCCCTATAATATAATGATACTAGTCATGTTATAATAGATTAGATAGCACTATAATATAAAAGCATAGTTATAATTGTTAAGATATCACTATAATATAATAGCCATTTTATAAATACTTAGGCAGTACTATAATAAAATAGCTAATTTAAAATTGTTTAGATATCACTATCAAATTATAGCACTATAACATAAGAGCCAACCTATAATATTGACCACATGAGTAGACAACCTAAAAAATATAAATAGAGGCCTAATGTCAACTTTGAGAAACTTAAATTTTCAGTGACTACTTATGTAATTATATGTGACAACCTACTTAGATCATCTTTAAAAAGCTAGCTTAAGAACATCTGTGACAACCTGCTTAGATCATTAGTGACTACTTACTTAGATCAAAATTGACAAATTACTTATGAAAATATGTGACAACTTTTTAATTTAATTATGACAAAATACTTAGAACATCTGTGACAACTTACCTGTGTTATCTCTTACTACCTACTTAGATCATCTGTGATAGCTTCTTACTTAGATCAGCTGTGACAACTTAAATAAATCATATATGGCAACTTAACTGTGTCATCTCTTATTCCCTACTTAGATCATCAGTGACAACTTACGTAAATCATCTATGTCAAATTCCTTAACATCAGCCGCAACTGTTGCTCTTCTCACATTGAGTGGGTCAGTCAGTGGACCGTAGACAATTTTGTAACCCTGAGAAACACAGGTAGAAGATATTTTGGTAATTTTTTTTTTTTTTGACTTTGTAAAACCAGTCTGTTTTTACAAACAAGTCTATTTTTACAAAGGGGTAATAAGGGGAGAGACTGCAATCAGGTTAGTACAAAATAAAATGAATAAAACAGAGTAGGGTTAAACCTGGAAAAATAAACGCAACAAAACAGCGAACGTGTCGGCACGTTCGCTGTTTTGTTGCGTTTATTTTTTCAGGTTTAATCCTACTCTGTTTTACTCATTTTATTCTATTTTTACAAACAAATCTATTTTAAAAACAAGTATATTTTTACAAACAAGTCTATTTTTACAAACAAATATATTTTTTACAAACAAGTCTATTTTGATAAACAATTCTATTTACAAACAAGTTTATTTTTACAAACAAGTCTATTTTTACAAACAAATCTATTTTACAAACAAGTATATTTTGATAAACAAGTCTATTTTTACAAACAAATATATTCTGATATTTGAAACCAACTTTAGCAAATTCTACAGCCTGCCATGTAAGCGTTATCTTCTCTTGTTTGGCTACGGCATTGCCTGAAGAAATCTTGGCTGGAGGCAGGAAAGCTGAAGCAACAATATTGACATATTAAGATGAAAGAATATTGATTAAAATTAATGAGCTCATATTAAATGATGAATCATCAATTGTGAAAAATTATTGATGAAAAATTAATTATGGAACCTCAATGATGAAACAGCTGCCCCACAAATGTATAACATATTATAACATATAACTTCTGAAAAAGAAAATATTAATTTCATACTTTAATGATAATCACGACAAAATGTACATTGTAGATGTTATGTGCAGCTCTGTTTTTGTGTGACAAATACTTGACCCAAATTTTAAAAAGTTGTGGAAAAAGGATTTTTAAAATTGAAATTCTAATCAGAGTTTGAATCAAATGAATGGCCATGCAACCATGCCACACATTACAATAAATTTACAGGCAACCCTACGACAAGTTACAAGAAAATTAGATACCACAAGTTACAAGAAGTTACAGGTCACCCTGACACATAAAGTTACATACCAGCCTGACACAAGTTACAAGAAAGTTACATGCCACAAGTTACAAGAAGTTACATGCCACCCTGACACAAGTTACAAGAAAGTTACATGCCACAAGTTACAAGAAAGTTACATGCCACAAGTTACAAGAAAGTTACATGCAACAAGTTACAAGAAAGTTACATGCCATAAGTTACAAGAAAGTCCCATGCCATAAGTTACATGAAAGTTACATCCCACCCTGCCAGAGTAACAAGAAAGTCACATGGCATAAATTACATGGAAATTACATCCCACCCTGCCTGAGTAACAAGAAAGTCACATGCCATAAGTTACGTGAAAGTTACATTTAACCCTGCCAGAGTAACAAGAAAGTCCCATGCCATAAATTACATGAAAGTTACATCCCACCCTGCCAGAGTAACAAGAAAGTCGCATGCCATACGTTACATGAAAGTTACATGCCACCCTGACACAAGTTACAAGAAAGTTACATGCCAAAAGTTACATTTAACCCTGCCAGAGTAACAAGAGAGTCACATGGCATAAGTTACGTGAAAGTTACATCCCACCCTGCCAGAGTAGAAGAAAGTCACATGCCATAAGTTACATGATTGTTACATGCCAACCTGACACAAGTTACAAGAAAGTTACATCAATATTTAGCTCTCACAAGTAGAATGTTTCTGTATCCGTATCCAATTGGAATGAGCTTCAAATCCCCAAGTCATCAAAGTTGAAATACGCAGATAATATGTGGCATTCTGGCCAGACCCTTGGTAAAATAATATAAAAGTCATATTTTATAAATATCTGTAACAGTCTAGGGCATTACAAAGTTTGCTCCATTCAAACGGAAACATGTTATGGTAACTTCATATGCCACACAGTATACAAGAGCAAGGATTTATTCTTCAGGGGATTCATTTTAAATTCCTAACTTTGCTAGACTTTCTCTGTCACCAGTCTTTGAATTCTGGCACGAAAACATTAGGCACTTAACATTGTGTAAGCAAGACATGTTCAAGGAAACATTAAATAAAAGATCAAATCCAGTAGCTAACAATTACTTTTTTATTTTATAATAAGTTGTACATAGAAAATGTCTGTTTAAAATTCTTAGCCCCTTTAAAATATATATTCAAGATACATACCAATAAAAAAAAAATTAATACAATTTTTTTTAAAAATACCACTGATAAACTTTTTAAAGATACACCGACCAATTATAAATTATTATCTAAAAATATATTCCGACTAATCTAATGTTTGTTTAAAGTATTTACCCACCATTAGGAAAGGCTGTATTTAAAATGCACTCTCCAATGAGAAAAGCTTTTTTTAAATGAGAAACTATTTGAAATATATTCCAACAAATGAAAAAATATTTATATAAATGAGAAAATATTTTCCAATCAATGAGAAAAGCTGTATTTTAACCCTCCATCAGGCGCACTGGATCAGATCGATACAAGCCAAACATTTCTGTTTCCCACACTTTAATGAGAGATGACAGTGACCTCTGCTTATCAGTAATTTAATGTTCTTATAGGCCAAGGGGGATGAGTGTGTAAAAAATGCCTTTAGAGTGAAGAAGTCCACTGTTTTTTCAAAGTGATGCACGTTAGTGTTTTTAAGTTTAACAATTCTATTTTTTCTTGCTCTTGGAAGTTATTTTTTTCATATTAGTTTAACACTGATACATTATCTTATTATGAATTAGTAAAAATCATATTGATATATTACACATAATAAGATATCTATACTGATCCCTATTTATACTTCAGGTTACTTCTGCTGTCTAACAAGGAAAATTTATGATTTTGAGAATCTCAAGGTTATTGAGGAAATTTTTTAAAAATAATTAATGGTGATGAATTTTATATTGTATGTTGGTTAAATAACTTTAAAAAAATAATCATTTGACAAAATTTCATTAAAATAAACTAATTTAACCAGTCACTCATTCTTTTTTTCTTTTTCTTGATGCCTTTCAACCCCATCTGGGGCATAGGCCGTCCACAAGAATTTTCCACTCATCAGGGTCCTGTGCTTTCCTTTCCAATTGCCTCCAGGTGTATCCCATATTTTGTGTGTCTGCCTCTAGCTCACGTCTACATGTATTCTTAGGCCTTCCTCTCTTTCTTCTTCCCTGTTGGTTCCATGTTAGGCATTGTCTGGTGGTGTTATCTGGGGGTTTTCGGAGAGTATGCCCTATCCACCTCCATATTTTCTTTATGATATCTTCATCAATTGGCACCTGGTATGTCTTTCTAGTAGATTTTTGTTGGTGATAGTATTTGGCCATTAGATGTTGAGGATTTTTCTAAGGCTAAGGCATGTGTTTATGAATGTCTGCACTTTCTGTGTAGTGCTCGCGGCTGTTTTCCAAGTTTCTGCTCCATATAGTAGAATTGTTTTAACATTTGTATTTGTATGTCACTCATTAACCATATCAAACTGATACACAACACTTGGTCTTGTTGCGGAAGGTTAATCCGAAAATGTATAAATTAGGTTCCAACCAATGAGAATGGTTTTTTTTTAAAGGAGAAAAATTTTTAAACATGTTCCAACCAATGAGAAAAGCTTTATTTAAAAATGCACCAACCAAAGAGAAAAGCTATATTAAAAAATACACCAACCAATGAGCAACTGTTTATTTCTGCTTCCTCTAACAAAAACTTTCTCTGCTCTGGTGTCCCCTTCCGTCTTATAATAAATGTTGAAACCTCTGATGTACATCGGAGACACATTGTCTGGTGCCTCCCAGTCCAGTTGAATGACCTATATTTTAAATAGGCCTCATTAAAAACTGTTAGTAACAAAAAATATGACACAATACGAGTAATGTCTCACTAGTATTTCACTTCAAATCCAGAAATGAATAAAAAAATTTCAAGGCAATAAGCTCACCCTAAATTATCTTAACCAAAATAAATACAATTAATTAATTCAGAACCATAGATGTTAATATATAAATTTAGCTATAATTACAAACTAATTCATTATACAATCAATTTAACCACAGTTCTGTGAATAGTAGAAAGAGATGGGGAAGTTATATCACATGACCTTGACTCACAGTTGAGTTGAGTGTCTTTGCTGACATGTTTGCTGGCTCCAGTCCCTCATTGGTCAGTGTTGTGACCTTGACCTCAGGCCCTGGCTCCCCTAAACTGTCGTCAGTTCCAGCTGTCACACCTGATATATTCCAATTGTAGACTTTTGTTAATTAAAAATCTCTTCAATTCGAGCAATTCACCCAAAAAAAGATTTTATTTGACATCGGATCACAAACAAATCTGATCAGGGACAAAATGATGATTAATATGTCAAATATGATTGGCCCTATATATTTATGTATACCGCACTACTTTACAATTGTGACCACATAAAAAAAAAATATTTAAAAAAAATTGCGATAGCTCTGACAAATTTTCAGAACAATAATTGACAATGCTTACAAGCGTATTTAAACATTTTGACAACGTTACACCACTGCTGCTGTTTAACAATTATGATCATGTTTACACATTCTCAAAACAATTATGAAAATGCTGACCAAAATAATTAACAATTGTGACAATGTTAACAAACCTACTAAATACTCTGTTTTCTGGTCCAAGTCATAGAGTTCTGTCCCCACTCTTGTTGCATTGATCACGCTTGATTGACTTTCACCCTTTTTGCGGTAGCTCACCTGAACATACAATGGAAAAATGTTTATCATATTTTTCTGGCCAATCATCATTTCTATAATGCTTCAACTGCTACTAAACTCTACAATTTCTTTAATGCTTCAACTGCTACTGAAATGTTACATTAAGAAATGGCGTCAGCGGGGCGAGTCTAGACTCTTATGCCCCCCCCAAATTACCCCTCCCCGGTCCGATGTATCTGGCCGCGGACCGGCACGTTGGAGATGCCCACTCGCCAGGACGGCCCCCACACGGGCCCCCCACCCAAGTCCCCCGCCTGGGCGCTTGGGCGCTCGACCAGGACCCCGCCTGAGGGCCGCCCCAATCAGGAGGCACCCGGTCGATCCGACACTATGCGTTTAAATAGTGCACTCGATGGACCTTCTCAGGAGTTGGGATGGAAAAATTTACATCCTAATATCTTCCCCCACCCATCCCGGGAAAGCGTCGGACGCCCTATAAGAGGGATTCCACAGTGGGCTTCCACAACGCGACTACTTCCCGCTGTAGCTGGGACAAAACGGTTGCCTAGGGGCAGCGTTCTCACGGCTGCATTATTTGAATCCTCGGCCAGAGGTTACCACCCTCACCTTTGGCCTCATACCCGTCAAAAACAACTTGTAATCATGATCCCTACCCTGGCTCTGCCTAACTTTCCGACTGCGAAATATCACAGCCGGCAGCCCTGTGGGAGCTGTTTTATGTACGGCAGGTACCGAGCACACCCTTTGTCTGCACACAAGGGGCGAACCCAGTAGTTATGTTTCCCGGCACACGCCGAGGGGGTCGGTGGCCGACGCTTCCTAATCGGCAAGCCACAGCCGACTTGTCAACCGGAAGCCTGGAACTTCAACTGCTACTAAACTCTATGATTTCTTTAATGTCAAAACTGTTTTTTAACTCTACAATTAAACAAATTGTCTCAAATGTAGTTCCTATTCAAATGTTAAAATCAAGCAAGGAAGTTTCATTATTAAACATAACAGTGGCATGGACCTGACATATAACCAAGAAATTATTGACCAGTTAATAATGCTTGTAAACCATTAATTTTTAAATTACTAATTACATTCTTTATATATCAAAAAGATATTGTGACAATTTTTCTTTAAAACGCTGCAATGAATACACAAATAATTCTCACCTGATAATATACAATGGTGAAATTGTAGTTAAGGGGAGGTAGCCAGTTGACAGATAACCTTGTAGGTGACAAGGGAATAGTCTGGATCTTGGTGACAGGGGGAGGGGGTGGAACTGGTCATTTATAAATAAGAGAATAGTAATTAAAATTATATTTGAAATGGCAATGGCGCAATCAAGACCTTCAATGTTCAATCATCAAAGGCAAACAATTTTTTAATGAACCCAATCTTATAGACTATAATATTGAATCATTACTGTCATAAAAACAATAATTAAATTTCAGAGTCTGAATTTTTATAAGCTGTAACATGTTAAACAGCTTTGAAATCCGACATAATATGCGGTGTCAAACAGTTTTCACACCATTTAAATCCCACATAAAATTAGCTATAAAAGTTTTTCCACCAGGTGTTGTAATCTGTAGAATTTTTTCCTCCCTATTACATTTCATGACATGACCTATAGAACATTTGCCCTTATTAGACCTCCTAGTAATATAACCTATTTTATTTTCCTCCCTTAGATTTTTTTCCCATGATATGACCTATAGATTTGTTTGACCTTCCAGTAAAATTACCTACATAACAATTTATTTTTCCACCTTAAATCTGCCCATGACATGACCTATAGAGCAAAATTCCCACCTTTGACATCCAAGATTACATTAGCCTCAGCCCTGCCAGCTTGTGATCTGGCCACACAAGAATATGTGCCCCTGTCTGCCAGCCTGCTGCCGTTTATGAGAAGAGAGGATTGTATGACGGAATTGGCATCATCAATGACAGAAGTGACACCCGTACCATCTCTGTCATTGCTTATTCCCTGGATACGGATAAATACAAGATGAACTATTAATTCAGCCTACAAATAGATTTTACTCATCAAATCAAAACACATTTATACCAAATACCAACTACAATATGATGGTATCTGAAATTTTGCTTGTTCTCAAATATTTAGCTGATCATCAGATGGATATCTGAAAATGTGCTTGTTCTCAAATATTTAGCTGATCTTTAGATGGATATCTGAAAATGTACTTGTTCTCAAATTATATTTAGCTGATCATCAGATGGATATAATAGATTTGGTGAATATAGTCCATGCGAATGTTCAGACAACAATCATTAATCATAACTTGTTAAAGTGATTTCAACATTATTCCTCACTGTTTAAAACATTAGAATAAGTTAAAATAATAAGGGAGAGGGAGACTGCGGTCAGATTGAAGAATAGGAGATGAGAAAAACATAGAAGTCTGTGTTCAGGTTGACCAATAGCAGATGAGAGACACATGTGAGTCTATCGTCACGTTAACCAATAGTAGATGAGCGACATTGGGAGACTCGTCAAGTTAACCAATAGGAGATGTTCATTATCTCCCCAAAAAATAATTCAAATGATAAACATAGAAATCTGATATTATATTTTCTCAGAAGGGGATGTGGAAAACAGGGTAGTGTTAACTATGTTCATCTTTTAAGTGAATCAAGCAGAAATGAGGAAATATTATTATTTGAACTGTCCGTCTTAAATCAATGTCATCACCCTTACATTCCCCACCCTACCCACTGACCCTACTACTGAAATAAAAAAAAATTACTGTCCTGTCATACTAACCTATCATAAAAACATATTCAATATTAACGTTTACAGAATTACAGGCGACCAACAAAAACCATTTGTGGAGTTAGCTGGCCACTGACCTCCTTAAATACAGTGTGTTGAGTTAGCTGGCCACTGACCTTCTTAAACAAAATGTGTTGAATGACCTGACCACTGACCTCCTTATAAACTGTATTATACTCCATGTGGATCCAGATAATTTCAGGCACTGGTCGGCCATAGGCTTCACACACCATCCTGCCAGGTGAGCTGACCATGACAGTGACCCCATGAGCTGAAAGGATTCTGGGAGGTTCTGTGAAATAAATTTCAAAATCATATTTGGTTGACATGTTTGACTTAAATTATAAGATCTTTTAATGACATGTTAGACTAAAATGATGGGATATTGTAATAAGGTGTTTGCTACTTTTAGACTTTATTTAAATAACATAGTGTGTATAAGGTGCTGGGTGGTGTTTGGTGACATGGCCACCCCTTGGCAACAGCTGATCTCACATAGCAAACTCTGATATTTTGGTGGTGGATGGTGTTTGGTGAAATGGCTACCCCTTGACAACGGCTGATCTCACATAACAAACTCTGATAATTTGGTGGTGGATGGTGTTTGTTGACAGGGTCAACTCTACACAAAAGCTGATCTCACATTGCAAACACTGATCAGCATTTGTTTATGTTTTAAAATATAATATAATTTAAAAAAAGTATGTAGATTAGAAAATATATAACTTATGTTTCTACGGGCAACAGAAAAAATATATATTTAAATAAATGATAGGTAATCAAGGTGAAGTTTAAAACAGAAATATGTACATGTCAAATGGATACATCAATACAACCCCATTTATTGCCGCACTGGAACGTATCCTTACTAAACCACAACAAATCTAAAATTAAACTTTTATTTGAAATGGGAATAACAATCAAATATCAGTATAATAATCAAATATCATTAGTAGAACAATCAAATATCATCAGTATAACAATCAAATATCATCAGTATATCAATCAAATGTCATCATAAATCTCAACAAGACAATGAGAAATTTTCATTTCAAAAAATTGTTATTCATCTATTGCTATCGATTTATAGCATCTATTGCTCACCATCTATAGCATCTATTGCTCACCATTTATAGCATCTATTGATCAACATTTATAGCACCTATTGCTCACAATATATAGCATCTATTGCTCACCATCTATAGCATCTATTGCTCACTATGTACAGCATCTATTGTATCTATTGGTCACCATTTATAACATCTATTGCTCACCATCTATAGCATCTATTGCTCACCATTTATAACATCTATTGCTCACCATCTATAGCATCTATTGCTTACCATTTATAGCCAGTCGTATTAAACCTTGTGCTTCCCCTGCACGATTCTTGGCCTTGCAGATTATTTCCCTTTGAGTCGCTGGCGTAACTTTGTAAAGCAGCAAGGATGAAGAGACACTGTCGGGACTGTCTTGATGTGATGTCACAGTTAGTGTCTCGGCAAAAACCCCGCTGGACATTTCTATCTACATTTAAAATTTAACACTCAGTTACTAAGTTTAAAATATAACACTTAAACTAAGTTTACAATTATATCAAATATTTCAATTAGTGAATTGTTTGTATTGTTTTGGCAATGATGTCAGATTCTTAAGACCTCAGCCAGTTAGATTTATGACCTAGACAAAACATGTAACAAGCAGATTTTCAACTAACCCTTGACCAGCTGGTCATTAACTAACCTGTGACAAGCTGATGTTCCACTAACCTGTGACAAGCTGATGTTCCACTAACCTGTGACAAGATGATGTTCCACTAACCTGTGACAAGCTGATGTTCCACTAACCTGTGACAAGATGATGTTCCACTAACCTGTGACAAGCTGATGTTCCACTAACCTGTGACAAGATGATGTACCACTAACCTGTGACAAGCTGATGTTTCACTAACCTGTGACAAGCTGATGTTCCACTAACCTGTGACAAGATGATGTTCCACTAACCTGTGACAAGCTGATGTTCCACTAACCTGTGACAAGCTGATATTGCCCTCCATTGTTTTGATTGACCATTCAATTGTGGGCAGCTCATGTCCACCAGCCTTACACGTGACATTGGCATTACCGCCTACATTGACATTAGTTGCCTGGTAATAAAGGATACTGGGGGGAACTGTAAACAAAAGAAAGTCATTTAATAAATTGATATATTAAAGATATATATATATCAAATGTAATAAATTGATTGAAATGATAAATTAATATAAAGATAAGTATTTAATTTTTTGAATTTAATAAAATGATAAACCGATAAAAGTGATAAATTAAAAAAAATAATAAATTGATATACTTGATAAATTGATATATATAATAATTTTATATAAATGACTCAACTAAAATGATTACTTGCAGCTGTTGTGTACTAAAACTGTAATTTTACAGGTGTAAGACATACGGCAGGTGACTGCACTGCCAGCGCAACATCACCAATTATGTTAAATTTTTCCAGGAAAAAAAAGTTTATATTTTAAGATGTTTCTTAGCTCCCTATGACGCATTTGTGTGCACTCATAATTCGATGGATAAACAATTTCACCAAAATGAAGTATTTCCATTCTGAAAACTGTGTTAGCATAAATGTTATTAATCTTATTTGGTTAGACTGATCATATTTGGTATCATTCATTTGACCAGTTGACAATGACATATCAAAAATGTTAAGAAAATGAAAAATCATAATAAATACAAAAGTGGTAACTAGTATTTTAATAGGTAATAACATAACAAATAGCAGGAAATTAGGGAGAAAAAAAATGTTTTATAATGATGAATATAAGTGAATTGACAATCTTGGGAAATGAAAGCAATCTCTAACCCTTTGGATAGTTTCAGCATGAGATTGTTATTACATAGCATTACAAGTTAAAAAGATAAACATAGTAAGTATACATAATGACATACAAAATATCAATGACCTGCCGCGGGGGTGACAAACACAAGTTCCTTGGATGGCTCACTTTCACCGGCAGCATTCAGTGCTGTGATGTTGACCCCATACAAGGTCTCGGGGTCAAGGCCATCCAGGTGTACATGATGAGTTTCTCTAATAATCTCTGCATTGGTCGAGTCTGAAATTTCAATATACGTTTTTTTCTTTACTTAAGTTTCCTACATAAAAAGTGTCAATAAAATATAATGCTGCATTGCCTTGCTATTAAGTTAACTACTTCCCTATCTCACATGATATGTTATTGATGCGTTTTATTACGCTACCATATTGACAAGATAAAAGGTTTTATTATGAAATGGAATGACGCGTCTTAAATAAGATTTCAAAATTTTGTATTGTGCCATCATGAAATTTTTTTGGTGAGTCTTTGAGAAAGGAAAATAATTGAAGAGTTACAGAAACTAATATGTAATTACTATTCTAAATCACAATGAAAAAAAAATTAAACCATAAAACATATTTTATCAGTTCATTCCTTTAATGTGTAGACTGTATTTATGTATAGACATTTTTAATGACAGTTTGGCTTTTTTTTGGTTAACGCTTTTCACCAAAGCTTGACATCCTGGCTCATTCGGCAGGTGAGGCCAATCCCCTTGTGCGTCTTCACATAGGAATAGTACTCAGAGTAATTTAACCTTGTTACCTCTTGATTACGGCTAACAAGCCTATCATTGTGCCACAGAGCTACCATAGTGCCACAGAGCTACCATTGTACCAAAGAACAACCATGGTTCTACAGGCTACCATAGTGCCAGACGGCTACCATTGTGCCACAGAGCTGGAATTGTGCCAAATGTCTACCATTGTGTCAAAGAGCTACCATTGTGCCACAGAGCTACCAATGGGAAAAGGAGATGTCTCTTCATTTTTGAATATCCTAAAATTATCTTTAAAAATTGCAAATGTGTTACTCACCATTGAAGTTGTGTATGTTTATTCTGTAGGCAACAACTGGGCAGCACTTAGGTACAGCGGGCACTGGCCAAGTTAAATGAACATTGGAGCCTGTTTTGTTTACAATTTTAACCTCGAAAGGCGATGACGGCAAATGATTCAAAGTAGCTGGTCGGGGTGTGCTCAAGGTGACATCAAAATTATTGTTGGTTGTGGTAACTAAATTTGGTTAAAATAAATATACATGAAAGATAACATAATAAATACATGTATATCAAAGATGAACATTAATAGGCCTACATTGTATGGAAGATTACCAAAGATTACCAAAAATAAGCCTACATTGTATCAAAGATGCCCATAAATACATGTTTGTTAAAGATGACCAAAAAAAATGCATGAATTACATCAAAGATTACAGTAAAACCTGTGTCTGCTGAGTGGATGACGTCCATACAAAAATAAATGTGTTTGTTCATCAATATTTTTGAATGCCCAAGTAAATAGCTCCTCTCTACTTCATCTCTTAATCAAAGATCTGATGACTTTTAATCAATGTACTTTCTATAATTAATATCAGATTTGTGAAAAAAAATCTGGCAATGCCGAAACCATTATTTTAGATTAAAAAAGAAGAGATCTATTATACAAGGATTTTTAAAAATTTCCCTGAAGTAAGTTTAGAGCTATGTTTTTATTTTGTTATTTTTTGTTGTTATTTCGATATTAGAAATATAAATTAATTTTTTTAACGAATTCATTGAATATAATAAATATTAAATAAAACAAATCCATTTTTTTAAAAGGGTGCTGCTTATTAATTATTAACTCCATTTGTTACCATTTTCGGGGTACGTTTTTGGGACCACAAATATAGAGGCCCATTTGGTGAAAGGACCTGTTCCATTTACTGTATTGGCAGCCAGACGAACTCTGTATATTTCATTACTCAGGATATCTATAGAAGATACCAAAAGAAAAAAGTTGTATCGTTTGGCAGTGGCAAAAAGCCAAAAAAAGAATGTCCACTGACTGTTGCATGTTCTGACTTGATTCTATCAATCTGAGAGAATGAATTAAAATAATCATCCAATAAAAATATTCACCCTGAAATTGGGAGTAATTGTACTATAATGGAAATCTTCACTTCCTAATAATCTCTCTGGAGGTTTGGGGAAGGGGGGGATGTTTGAGTCACCTGGAAGTTGGGGGTGGGGGGGGCGCATCAATTTAAATTTCTTTTTTAGTATAAAATTTTTAGTAATAAAAAAAATCTATTTCCATAAGAATTAGTTAAGAGGGTAGTTATATTTTATACTGACCTCATCATCATTCTGATCTAGTACTCATTTTTGGATCCACTTATTGACATGAGACCCCATTTTAAGAAATCTGCATATCAACGAAGTGTTTATTTTAATTTCAATATTGTTTTCACTTTTGTTGGGTCACTGAAGGAGGCTTCAGGCAGACACATTCATTCTTTTGTTACATCTATTCTTTCATTTATTTATTTCTTCTTTGGTTGGTCTTGTCTGCCAAAAAAAGTTTTTAAAATAATAAAATAATGGTTGGCTTTACCTGTTAGGTTAAATGCCCTCACACTTGCCTCAGCTGTGACTGTGTGTACTTCCCCTTTCTTTGATTCCTCTTGTTTGTATTGCAGGGTGTATCCAGTTATGTCCCCATTTCTTGTGCGAGGAGCAGGGGGGAGCCACTTGACTTGAACAATCTGTTGAGGTATAATTTATATAACAATCTGTTCAGATAAATCTATGTAACATTCTTTTCACTTTTAATCTATTTAACGATCTGTTCAGATATATGTGTACACATCATTATGTTCAGATATCATCTATACAACAATCGATAAGATTTAATATCTTTAACAATCTAGTCAGATATGATCTGCTTAACCTCATTTTTAAACAAACAAATTACCACTTCTGATAGATACAAGCATTTTTTAACATCATGCCGATTTAGCCAATGTTTAACCTCATGCAGATTTAGCCAATGTTTAACCTCATGCAGATTTAGCCCTTTTTAACCTCATGCAGATTTAGCCATTTTTAACCTCATGCAGATTTAGCCAATTTTAAGGACATAAAATAGCATCTTAAATCCCTTTTCTTATAGATATACATTAAGCTTAAGAAGGTCCCTAACGTTAATAAATAAAGCAAATGCATTATTCATTATCTTCAACAGCCATCCATCAAGAAAAAGTTTGGTGCCTTTTTACAGTGTAACAACAGAGATGGATGATCCAATTGTAATGATAGAAATATTTTATATATAAAATAAACTAAAAAATCCTAAAAAATAATCTGAAACTAAACATGTTAACACACATTTGTATCATTTATATTTCAACTAACTGTATTGAATATTACATTTAAAAATGACAAAAAAAAAAAGAAAAGACAAATGTAATCAAAACTTACCGTTGGGTCTATCATCTGCAGGTTGAGCATCCTTGGAGCACTGCTTGGAATACCAGAGAAAGTCTTAGCGTGCACACTTGAGCTGGGAGGGTGGGATTTGTTGGCCTGAATCAACTTGTAAAGAAAACAAAAAAACATGAGTACAAGATCATGATAAATCTGGATGAATGTCAACACATGTCCATGTCAACATCACAGCACTGTATGAATGTACAGAGAGGTGAAATGTACAAGTGTACTACACAGCAGTACATGATTGTACAGAGGAGTCCATTGCTACGAAATGAACAAGTGTACAACACATATACAAGTGTTCAGCACATTTACAAGTGTACAACAAAGGTACAAGAGTACAACACATGTACAAGTGTACAAGTACTTTTACCTATAAAAATTATAAATCAAGACAGAACAATTTAGGATTGCTATAAAATATTGATTCAAGACTTAAGTCTAAATTTCAGTTTCTAGAAAATATAGCTCAGATTTTGTAGGCCTGTCCCCCCCCCCCTCTATCCATGTGCAAGTAGTTCTAATGTAGGGGCACAGTGGTGGCTTCCCATGGCAGACGAACCTTGCAACTCTTGCCAAACAGTTACACCTTGCGCTTGTACACAGGGCATGAATGGCCTACACACACAATACAATCTACATTTTTTTATTCCTTTATATTAACTTCCATTTTGTTCATGGCTGGCAAAATCTTCTGATGGCTAATTTACCCACTTCCCGTCAACCAATCAACTCAAACTTGGCACGATAACAACACATTCGTTCAGATTTTCAGCATTTTATAAATTATGTATAAGAAACAAAAAAATTTTGAGGTTGTTAATTTAGATATAATTGTGCTATTATTTATAATTGTTCTACATTTATCCATAATTGTATGCCTTTTTGCTTCAACAATAATCTAGTTAAAACTTCAGTTTATTAAGCTCTGCATACAGAAGTGTTGGCAGTATGATTTTTAGCACGAAATGATTAATAAGTAATTGCACACTAAGTAACTGCACACCAAGTAATTGCTCACTAAGTAATTGCACAATAAGTAAGTGCACACCAAGTAATTGCACACAAAGTAATTGCACACTAAGTAACTGCACACTAAATAAGTGCGCAATATGTAATTGCACAATATGTAATTGCAGACCAAGTAATTGCTCACTAAGTAATTGCACACTAAGTAATTGCACATCAAGTAATTGCACACCAAGCAATAGCACACCAAGTAACTGCTCACAAAAAATTTGCTCCCTTTGTAACTTCACACTAAGTAAATGCACACTAAGTAAATGCACACCAAGTAATTGCACACTAAGTAATTGCACACTAAGTAACTGCTCACTAAGTAATTGCTCACTAAGTAATGCCTCACTAAGTAATTGCTCACTAAGAAATTGCTCACTAAGTAATTGCTCACTAAGTAATTGCTAACTAAGTAATTGCACACTAAGTAATTGCTCACTAAGTAATTGCTCACTAAGTAATTGCTCACTAAGTAATTGCTCACTAAGTAATTTGCTCACTAAGTAATTGCTCACTAAGTAATTGCTCACTAAGTAATTGCTCACTAAGTAATTGTTCACTAAGTAATTGCTCACTAAGTAATTGCTCACTAAGTAATTGCTCAATAAGTAATTGCTCACTAATTAATTGCTCACTAAGTAATTGCTCACTAAGTAATCGCTCACTAAGCAATTGCTCAGAAGTAATTTACTCACTAAGTAATTGCTTACTAAATAATTGCACACTAAGTAATTACACACCAAGTAATTACACACCAAATAATTGCACACCAAGTAATTGCATACCAAGTAATTGCACACCAAGTAATTGCTCTCCAAGTATTTGCTCACGTAGTAATTTTGTACTCTAAGCCAATCAATAGTTTTTCTTTAAATGTGCAACAAAAATGTGCACACTGACAAAAATGTTGCACACAGAACACAACAAAGCTTCAGTGGAATTAGTTGGAACATCCCTACCATCTACTCATCATGATTTGTGTAAGATAGAGTTCCTACAGAAGTTATTTATAAAAAGCAATAATGCCTTTAAAGTACTTGTAGATTTTTCAGTGATTTTTTAATTATTATTTTTTTTTTTTTTGAGGTTGGGGTGGTGGTTGTGAAGCTGCTGAATTGATCTATGGATTGAACCTGTGTATGAAAATTAAAAATTAGATTTGTTCCTTGAACATTACCATCATTGTCTGTATTTGAAAACTGTAAATAATATTGGGGTGAAGTTCCTTGGCCTCGTAAAATGTCACCTCCCTGCTGACTGTAGCTTTCCTCTTGCGTCCTTTTCCATTGGCCGGATGAAAGATAACTGTGTAAGACAAGACCTGCTGCGCTTGCAGTGGCGGCTGCCATGACAACAGTATGGCATCAGAAGAAATGGGTGTGGCGGTGAGATTTCGCACAGAGTTCGGGTCTATGAAATAAATTAAAATAATTCGCTTCTAAAATTGAGTTCGGCGCTTTATCATTCAAAAGAATGTGACAGTGTCTCTGGTCATAAGAGTTCAACATATGCTTGGTATGAATTAGGTAGAAAAGCTTTTAAAATGATAAGGAATAAATGGCCTGATGTAGGTCTATTATTATTATTTACTTTAAGACAAATAATAACTTTTAAGAAGTGTTATTTCTGATATATTTTTTTTTTTAACTGAGACTACAGGTACACAATTATTGATCTCATAATCTCCAGATGATAGTTGACCTATTTAAAAATCTGAGGGGAAATTTATTACAGCATGAATAAAAAACAAATGAAAAGCACAGGACGTGTTTTACTTGTTAAGTGTCATCCTAACAAACAGTTTGGTATGTATGATTATTTAAAAGTATCTAAAGTAAAAGGTAACTGCAATTTAAAAATCTCTATGGTAAACAATTAAACCTTTACAGAAACAAATACAATTGTACAGCAAACACATAAAACTTTACAGTGAGCAATTAAAACAATGTTACCTTCAGAAACAGGAAGAATAGTCAAAGATATAGTTTTACTCCAAGGACTGGAAATGTTGTCAGCAATTGTAATTGACTTGACTGCAATGTCATAAGTGGCATTAATCTGTACACCCAAAAGTCTGACCTTCCTTCTTTTGGACCGAACTGTTTGCTGATTAGTCTTAAGTGGTCCATACTTGACTACATATAATCTTTCTGATGGCACTCTCCCTAGGACCCGGAGGTCAGGGTCACGCCAAGCCACTTCAATATCATTAGGGGGAATAACCCTGGCAGTTACTTTCCTAGGCGCACTGGGAAGTTTTCTGGCCTCTGAAATCAGAAATAAAATAATGTTGATTTCTTTAAGAGCAGATAGACATTTTAATCAGCCTGATTTGCAGATATTAACTACATTATTTGTTTGAGTAGAAAACACAGTCATCAAGGGCACATTCAAGATATGACAAATGATATGGCCTGACTTATTGACGGAAAATTTGATTTTGTCTTTACGGATGGTCATTGATTTCAATGGCTCTGGTAACAGATATCTCTCAATGAAGATTAACCCAATTAACAGGATCATCCAGTTTCTTCAGTCCAAAGGTCAAGTATATTAACAAAAAGATTTAACATTTTTAAAAAAAAAAACTTTTCTTTGAACAGCAGTGAAGCAGTTAGGGCATCTTTCTAAAGAAGATGAACAGATACGGGGAAATAGTACGATTCCCAACTTAACGTTTTTAATAAGTATCATTGCAGCCCAGGAAAAGATATGTGCTGATGTGAGGGTAGTTGTGTAGGTTTGAAGTAGTTGTGCAGGTGTGAGGTAAATGTAGAAGCAAAGTAGTTTTGTAGGTGTGAAGCAGTGGTGAAGGTATGAGGCAGTTGTGCAAGTTTGAGGTAGTTGTGCTAGTGTAAGGTAGTTGTAGAGGTGTAAAGTAGTTGTGCAGGTGTAAAGTAGTGGTGAAGGTATGAAGTAGTCGTGAAGGTATGAGGCAGTTGTGCTAGTCTGAGGTAGTTGTGCAAGTGTGAGGTAGTTGTAGAGGTGTAAAGCAGTTGTGCAGGAATGAAGGAGTGGTGAAGGCATGAGGTAGTTGTGCAAGTTTGAGGTAGTTGTGCAGGTGTGATGTAGCTGTGTACACCAATGGTGAGGATATTAATAGTTTTCAGATGTGAGGTAATGTATAGGCGAGAGGTAGCTGTGCAGGTTTGAGTTAGTGTAAAGCTGAGAGGTAATGTAAAGGTGAGAGGTAATGTAAAGGTGAGAGGTAATGTAAAGGTGAGAGGTAATGTAAAGGTGCGAGGTAATGTAAAGGTGAGAGGTAGTTGTGCAACATGACATTTAGGTACTCTACTTAAAAAAAGAGGAACATGGGAGGGGGGTTTTGAGTTATTCGGGTAGGGATTTTTTGAAAAGATAACTATAGAAGGCAACTGGATTTAAAATGGACTTAAAATAATATTGTACATTAAAATAATATAAATACATCCATCTATTCCAGGCCTATGTCAGGTCTATGTTTGATCTATCTTATGTCTATGTTAGGTCAAAGACATAATGGCACACACCTGATGGTACTATGAACATCCAACACAACTTATTACATGCTACACTGTACACACAACACAACTGATGGAAAAGCACAAGGAACATACAGCAACTGATGTCGTAATGAATACACAACAAAAATTTTGATGGCATGGCCCTTTGAATACCCAAAACAACTAATTGCATGGCCCTTTGAAAACCCAAAATAACTGATGGCATTCACAATGAAGCCACAACAAACCTGATGTCAAAATGAGCACACAACACAAGTCACAATGAGCACACAACACAAGGCACAATGAGCACACAACACAAAGCACAATGAGCACACAACACAAAGCACAATGAGCACACAACACAAGGCACAATGAGCACAAAACACAAGGCACAATGAGCACACAACACAAGGCACAATGAGCACACAACACAAGGCACAATGAGCACACAACACAAGGCACAATGAGCACACAACACAAGGCACAATGAGCACACAACACAAGGCACACTGAGCACAAGACACAAGGCACAATGAGCACGCAACACAAGGCACAATGAGCATACAACACAAGGCACAATGAGCACACAACACAAGGCACAATGAGCACACAACACAAGGCACAATGAGCACACAGCACAAGGCACAATGAGCACACAACACAAGGCACAATGAGCACACAACACAAGGCTCAATGAGCACACAACACAAGGCACAATGAGTACACAGCACAAGATACAATGAGCACACAATACAAGGCACAATGAGCACACAACACAAGGCAAAATGAGCACGCAACATAACTAAAGGCATGGCGCAATTTTGTGAAGTGCAGTGAGCCAAGCCTTAGGCCGGGGTACTGTGATAAATAAAACAAGGAATACACAGCATAACTGATGGCATTGCACAAGGAACACACAGCATAACTGATGGCATGGAACAAGGAACACACAGCATAACTGATGGCATGGCAAAAGGAACACACAGCATAACTGATGGCATGGCACAAGGAACACACAGCATAACTGACGGCATGGCACAAGGAACACGCAGCCTAACTGATGGCATGGCACAAGGCACACACAGCATAACTGATGGCATGGCACAAGGAACACACAGCATAACTGATGGCATGGCACAAGGAACACACAGCATAACTGATGGCATGGCACAAGGAACACAGCATAATTGATAGCACGTTACAAAGAACACACAACACACCTAGTTGTCTGGCAAAATGAACGCACAACACAAAACACTTTGGAAAATTATTTCGAAATAAATGAAATAATATATTAGTGGCCACCAATAAATTTTGCAACGCTGCAGAAAGGGTCTAAAAAATAATGACAATTTGTGACTTGAGGAGGGGGAAAGACACGGGGGGGGGGGATGACATGGGAAGGTGTAAATACCTTATGCAACGTACCACATTTTTTAATTTTTTACGATCACACATTTAAAACCTCAAATGGCATCGATTTGTAACTTTTGAGATGAATGTATTCTGACACAAGATGAAACTTTTAGGAATTTAATGTTTCAATAGGAATGTGTTTTAATTATTAAATCAACACGGCATGCACACACATAGTCTGGTATAGTTCTATTTACCGTCCTGGTAGACACAGATAGCCAGTAGAAGACAGATAGGAATCAGCATCCTGCGAACAACTGGCACTATTTACTAATAACAACAAATGGGATTCGGTTACCGGAGACGTGCTGACCCAGGGGAGACCATATGCTTACTACCACTTGGAACTTCCCTAGCAACGAAACGCCAACACCATTTGAAATCACAGCCGGGGGCCGTCTCATATTCGCCAGTCACATCGCTTTGTTTGGTATCATGGACAGTGTGGGATGCAAGAGGATTTTTATGACTAGTTTTACGAAGAAATATTTTGACTCTTTTAAAGCAAATTATTTTGAATACGCATACATCAACAGAATACATTGGTTAACACAGTTAAGTTAAAGTTAAGCATTCAAGGCAATCAAGTAGACTAAAGGTTTTAAATAGTTCTGAGGCGTCCTTCAACCCATTGTATTTTAAATAGTTGCGAGGCGTCATTCCACCATCTTATTTTAAACAGTTCTGAGGAGCCCTTAAACCATTGTATTTTAAACAGTTATGAGGAGCCCTTAAACCATTGTATTTTAAACAGTTCTGAGGAGTTCTTAAACCATTGTATTTTAAACAGTTCCGAGGAGCCCTTAAACCATTGTATTTTAAACAGTTATGAGGAGCCCTTAAACCATTGTATTTTAAACAGTTATGAGGAGCCCTTAAACCATTGTATTTTAAACAGTTCTGAGGAGCCCTTAAACCATTGTATTTTAAACAGTTCTGAGGAGCCCTTAAACCATTGTATTTTAAACAGTTATGAGGAGCCCTTAAACCATTGTATTTTAAACAGTTCTGAGGTGTCCTTTAGCTACAATATTTCATTTTTGTTAAAAAATGTTTATCATTGTTAGTACAGATGTAGACTACATGAATCATTCAAGGAAGTTTTTAAAAGGTGGCCATCTATAAATGGGGTCAAGCAATTTTTATATTGTTAAATCAGTGTTTGGGGGGGGGGGGGGGGGGGCGATACACGACTTTGTGGGGAGCTTTGATTAACCGCCTATATGACATGACCTATTTTATGGATGGCCCCCGCCGTTTAGACATTTTGAGCGCTGAAACAAGCCCCAAACATTTCAATAGACAAAGGTCAAGGGTCATGGGTTTAGAGACTTCGAAATGTCAAGATGATTGAAATGTATCCACTGTGGAGACGCAACGTTTCAATCTAGAGCGTTACACCTTCTCTTCATGTCTCTCCCTCTCTCTCTCTCTCTCTCCTCTCTCTCTTCCTTTTTTCTCACTTCTTTTCTCTCTTTCTCTCTTCCTAAATTTCTCTTTTCTCTTTCTCCCTCTATCTCTCTCCCTCTTCTCTCTTTCTTTCTCTCTTCCTCTCCCTCTTCTCACGCTCTCTTTAACTCTATAATCTATTCTCCTCTCTCCTTTATTTTTTCTCTTGCCCTCTTTCTCACTTACTCTCTTTCTATCTATCTCTCTTTCTATCTCTCTATCTGTTTCTCTTTCTTTTCTCTCCATCTTTTCTTCGCTTTCTTTATCTCCCTCTCTTCTTCTATCTATTTCTTACCCGCTCTCCTCTTTCTTTATCTATCCACAGTTTCTATTTCTACCAATATTTCTATTCCCCCCCCCTCTCTCTCCAACCACCTCTCTCACTTACCTTCCCTCTGCCCCCTTCTCTCTTTTTGCTTTCGCTCTTAACAAATTTGCTTTACAGTTCAGTTGAACATGAAAGCTTACAATATTCATATTCCCTTAAATTGTGGAGAGAAATCCCGTTTGACACTTTGCTACTAAGTCCACCTTCTGGGAACCACTGGTCAAAAAAACAGATGGCATCATTTCGATGAGAGCGCCCCCCGTCCAGTCTGCGCGCCGTTGAATGATCCAATTACAATCCGGAAATGAACACTCAGACAACTGTGGAGTGACCACGTGACTTTTAGCCAACCATCGGACGGCAACAACTTTGATATCATCTTCTATTGCCCCGGCATGGTCGCGGGTGTAATGAGACTTTGGGTTCACTCAAAGCTTTTAAACAAAAGGATATAAGTCTGCTCTTGACCTGACGTCGCCATTATGTCATACTTAAGTTGTAAAAAAAAAGATCATTGCCTGAGTGGCAGCATGCCAGATTCTGGTTGGAGGAAATTTGGCAGGGCTGCCGCTTCTTTCACAAGGTAATCGCCTGGGGTGCTTGGCCAAGGAGGGCAAACGAGGGCGCCGGGCTAAGGAAGGCGCTGGGCTAAGGGGGTGTTAGGGTAATGTGGGCGCTGGGCTAAAGAGGGGGCTGGGCTAATGAAGGTGCTGGGCTAAGAAGGGCGCTGGTCTAACAAGGGCGCTGAGCTAAGTAGAGCGATAGACTAAGGAGAGCACTGGGCTAAAGAGGACGCTAGGCTAACAAAGACACTGGGCTAAGGAGAACACTGGGGTAATGTGTTTTAGAAAGAAAAAAAAAAACCAATTCTATACTTTAGTCAGGCGTTAATAACTTCCGGCCATCGAATAAATGGAGGACTATTAAGTTTTGAACAACTTTCTGTTTCTTGTTGTTTCTTTATTAGTCGTGACTGCCGACGAAGGCTCTTAGTCGAAACGTCCTTCTTTTATTGTCCTGTCTTTATACTTCAAACGTCCACATTCCTTGTTCTGTTATGTCCTACACACAGCTCTTCCCCACCACTCTTTACCTCACCCCCACCCCATCCCCCCATCTTGATTTTACAATCATAACTCCACCAATCTTGAGCACATCAATCTTGATCACACTATGGACCACTCAAAACTATGGACCACCCAACACTATGGACCACCCAACACTATGGACCACCCAACACTATGGACCACCCAACACTATGGACCACCCAACACTATGGACCACCCAACACTATGGACCACCCAACACTATGGACCCCCAACACTATGGACCACCCAACACTATACACCACCCAACACTATGGACCACCCAACACTATGGACCACCCAACACTATGGACCACCCAACACTATGGACCACCCAACACTATGGACCATAACCCCACCAATCTTGAGCACATCAATCTTGATCACACTATGGACCACCCAACACTATGGACCACCCAACACTATTGACCACCCAACACTATGGACCACCCAACACTATGAACCACCCAACACTATGGACCACCCAACACTATGGACCACCCAATAATATGGACCACAACAAAGATTAAGATTGGCCGTTGAACATTGTCGACCAGAGAGTGTCACATCAAGATGGAAACCAAACATTGTGCACCACCGTGTAGCATTTTAATTGGCCAACTAATAATGTACACTACAACAAAACATTTCAAAGAATCATACAAACAGTGTGCACCACAATAAAACCTTAAAACAGACAACACAACTCTTTGCGCAATAATACTAAAGTATAACGGATCATTTGATTATATGGTTGACAAATGACGTCACAAGATATCCGTTAATGCAGTAGTCTATCAGACATATTTAACTGTCACCTATGTTTCTTTATGATATAAAACATACCAGAAGTGGACATCAACATAACAGAAGTGGACCTTGAGATAAAAGAAGTATACCTACGGATAACAGAAGTGAACTTACGGAAAACAGAAGTGGACCTACAGATAACAAAAGTGAACATAAATATAACAGAAGTGGAGTTACAGAAAACAGAAGTGCACATTCACATAATAGAAGTGGGCATTCATATAACAGAACTGAACATAAATATAACAGAAGATGACCTCAAGATAACAGACATGGTCTTACCTATAACAGAAATGGACATAAATATAACAGAAGATGACCTCAAGATAACATACATGGACTTACCCATAACTGAAGTGAACATAACTATAACAGAAGATGACCTCAAGATAACAGACATGGAGTTATCTATAACATAAGTGACCATAAATATAACAGAAGATGACCTCAAGATAACAGACATGGACCTACATATAGCAGAAGTAGGCCGATGGAATGCTAGTTAGAGAAAAAAGACATCACTCTAGGACCACTACAGGGGACACATGACCATTTGCGACATCTGGGGTCGTAATACGACAATTTGGGCACCACAATGTACCGCGTGACGTATGTTCTCCCTTATATTCTGTGGATGGATTACAAAAAAAATGCGGAATATGTTGCTGAATATTAAACCATCGATGGTTCTCACACTGATATTTTTTCATTACTAAGATTCCCATCTTCTGGGATCGTTTAGGTGAATTGTGTTACTTTTGACAGGTAAGAGGTTTAATCCACGTGTGTAAGATTGTCGACCAGGTGTTATATCGTGCCTCCAGTGTTCTGGTAGGTCACATTGCTGCATCCATGTACTGGTATATGTGCAACGAATGGGGGGGGGGGGGGGAAAGCGATGGGGCGACATATGTGCAACGAA